GTCTGACACGCCATCTCGCCCCAAATCCTCCCCCCCTCCCGGCAAGCATGATTATCTCGTTGTAGCCCTCGCCTTGCAACTCGTCGGGTGCATTCCCGCGCTATGCAATCCCAGCTACACTCCCTCTGAGCTCTCTCATCAGATCCGCATGATCCGCTCCAATCTCATCCTCAGCACCAACACGAGCAGCGGAGACAAGTCCAGCGCCTTTTCCCAAGCTCAAAAGGCTGCTCGACTGGCAGCTTCGGAATCGGACGATGAGTTCAAGAAGCTGAAGAGCGAGCCGGTTGTGCTTGCGTGGGAAGAGGGCCAGGGAAGCTGGCACGAGATTGCCGAGAAGGGCACCGAGCTGGGTGAAGCTGGCAGAGCAAAGGTCGAGGAGAGGAGCAAAGCTGTGCGCATACAAGATACAGCTGTGCTGTGTTTCAGGTGAGTCCGACCCAGCACATTCGCCATCCCTTCTTGATTGTGCGATGCTGAAATGTCATCATCCCCCCAACCCCACTCGCGTCATCGACCCTCGCATCCAGCTCTGGGACATCAGGCAAACCCAAGGGAGTCTGCTTGACGCACGAAAACTTGGTCAGCAATACGATTCAAGCCACCTACCTGCTGCATGATCGGATGAACGAGCCGCTCATATCGCGCTGGTCGGATGACCCTTCTGCCTTCGAAGCGCGTTCGCAGACAGGGTGGTACGACACGGCTCACGAGCACGAGGCTGATACGCGAAAGAAGAATAAGCGCAAGAGTTTGGGAGAGAAGCTCAAAAGTATGCTCAGTCTCACAAAGAAGAGCGGGAGCGCACAGGATGCAAATGACGAGTTCCATCAGGACGTCTTGCCACAATTTCACTGCTACGGTCTGCTCGTCAACCTCGTCGCCTTGCACACCGTGAGCCGCACCTCGCGTCGGTGACTGACTCCAAAGCCGCAATGATGGCACGCCGAACTGATGTACCTGATCCTCATCTCGTCCAGGCGACGCCTCGCGTCATTCTGCCCCGCTTCGACTTGCACACTTTCCTCTCGGTGACGCAACAAAAGCAAGTCACATTCGCCTTTGTCGTACCTCCCATCTTGTTGGCCTTGGCAAAATCGCCGATAGTGGAAGAGTACGACGTGAAGAGCCTTTGGAGGGTCGCTTCGGGAGCTGCGAGCTTGCCCGACGAGCTCGTCAGCAAGGTGCACAAGCGATTAGGCCTCATTTGCACAGATGGTGAGCGCAAACGTACCAGTTTCTGGGACACCAGCAGCTCACCTGCCATTTTCCTTCTCGCTCGTTGCTCGCTAGGCTACGGTATGACAGAGAGTAAGTGCCAAGCCTTGTATTTCTCGGAATTGTCCATGTCTCACCATCGCTTCTTGCCTCTGAGCCGCAGTGAGCCCAATCATCGCCATGCAGACGCTTTCCGACGTCGAGGCAGCTCCTGGATCCATCGGTGTGTTGGCGCCCAACACGCGCGCAATCTTGCTCGACGTCAATTCCGGCAGGGAGCTTTCGTCATCTAGCGACGCCTCGGCATCGTCACCCGAAGCGGCAGGCGAAGATCAGGGTCAAGAAGGAGAGCTTCTTTTGCACGGTCCTCAGATGATGGCTGGCTACCTTCACAACGACAAGGCCAACGAAGAAGCATTCGTGATCCGCAAGAACGACAAGGGAGAAGAGGAAAGATGGTTGAGGACGGGCGATGTGGTTAGGATAGATCAGCGCGGTTATGTATACATCAAGGACAGGACAAAGGATGTGATCAAAGCAAAGGGTTTCCAAGTCTCTCCTGCTGAGCTGGAAGGTAGGTACACACAAGAATGCATATGTCCGTCTGGTGTGCATGGGCTGATAGTCTTCCCTCACCATCGCTTGCGAAAAAGCCATCTTGTTCCGCGACGACAACATCGCGGATTGCGCAGTGGTCGGCGTGACCGATTCGGACGGCTCAGAAGCTCCGTGGGCGTTCATAGTTCGTCGATCGGAGGCTTCATCGCCCAGCGCTTCTTCTACCCCTTCTCCCTCCACCGAAAGACCCCCTGCCACTAGGAACGACGAAGAGGCCGAAGAGCAGGAGAAGAAGGAAATTCTCAAGATGGTGAATCAGGAAGTCGCCGGATATAAGCGCATCAAGGGTGTCTCATTCGTCAAGGAGATACCCAAAAGTCAGGCCGGCAAGGTGCTCAGAAAGGACCTTAGAGGTCTGGTCAAGATCTGATGGGCTGCAAGATCTGCAGCGTGCTCACGAAGAGAGATGCGGAGGCGAGAGAGGCTCGAAGGGGCCTCGCGCTTTGCTGCCGCGCCGTTCCTTCTTGTCGCACCGAGCTTTTGGAGGTTTTGCGAGATGCGTCGGAATACTTCACCTTGATCTCCTCGTCTTTTACGCTTGTTGCGTCTCACTTTCCGTACCCTAAAGTCTCTGCGCATGGCGTTGCTATAATGTCCGAGCCCGCTACTATTGCGCCAATATCGCGATCGTGAATTACGGATTAGAATCATATACCACAGACAGACTTACCGCATCTTCGCTTGCCCATACCATAGCATGTCCTGCACTCCCTCATCTCGAGAGGTTGACAAGAATTGCTGAATGAGCATGCGCCGATTCTAGGTTGACGAATCGTGAATCAAAATTGAGCTGTGCGGATGAGTCACGTGAGTGAGTCGGTAAGGTATCACGACGAGGGAGCTGGCTGAGCGCGCGCGCGCGTCCGCCGACGGACTGACGACTGACTGACTTGACTGCTTTTCGCGCCAGCCGAGCGATGTTCGTTCGCTGATGCATGGCTGCGATGAGCTGCTGATTACTTTTCACGCGATTAAGAGGGGTGAGTGTGAGCGCAACCGCGACCGCAACCGCGACCGCGACCGCGACCGCGGCGGATGCTTGAGGGATCGGAGAAGAGTCGCAGCAGAATGTCGAAGATGACGAATGAGTCGTGATCGAGCGATGGCAGGCAGGCAGGGATCGGCGGGACTTGCAGACTCATCAGACTCGTGACTGTTGTACCGATGCAATTGGGACTCGCTTGGTTGGCTTGCTTCCTACAGCGAGCATCACAGTACACTCTGACTGACTCACGAATGCACGCTCGCTGACTCCAAATTGCATGCCGTATTCGTGATTCCCAATTCTTCGGTGCCCTCGATCGAAGCATTTTGATTGGACTCACGATCTGATGCCCATCCATGCAACCGACGCGCACATCGTCACTCTGACTTGGACTTGCGTGTCTCAATTAATGTGAAGTGGAAGCCACGCTGACGGACGCACATATAGCAGCAGGGGCCGTCTCACGCATGCATCAGCATGGCCGCGCGCGGCGCCTAGCATTCTTGATTCATAATTGCTGCTGACTGCTGCTGCTGCTGCTGCTGGTCTGCGCGCATGCACTCGCGCGGTGAAGATGTGGTGACCGCGAAGGGACTCCTTTGCTGGGGGCGCGCGCGGCTGCTTGTCTGCATGCGCGCATATATGCGGCTTTTATGCGCAACCGAGAAGGTCCTCAAAATCTCAACCGCAAAAGGCCTTCTTCTTCGGCCCTCGCGCCCGCCTCTCCTTCTCCTTCGCTCCCTGATCCGGTGCCGTACGTCTTAGCGCACGGTGTTTACGAGATTTTTCTTCTTGCCAAGGAACCGCGGTCAGTCAGAAAGAGTGCTTGTGTCGCAAATGAGACGCTGAATGTTGTCGAAGGGCTAGACCATATACACTGCCAGCTTGCCCACTCTGACCACGCTGAAATTTGCATAATGCCAGCCACTCTGCTGCTGGGTAATGCGGCCCATCAGGCACACGCGATGATGCTCTGACAAGATGCCCGAATCAACACGCATCGATCGCCCACCGCAAAACGAGATTCTCCGGCTGATGAAAAGAAGCAAAGTTGACTGTTGCGAATTGCTTTGCTCACTCACTGACTGCTGCTTGTCTGTAGACCTCCCTCACATCGTCGTTCAGCTTGCCTCTCGACTTACAACAGACACGCAGCATCAGTGCCCGCTCCGCAGCGACGATCCCAACGGCCCAGCAGCAGCAGCAGCAGCAGCAGCAGCAGCGTAGCGCAGGAACATCCCAGGCACAGTATCAGGTGAGTTTCATGATCATCAACAGCTAGGCCTTCGTCTGTCTTCCAGGCACAAGACGTGCACGACGACTTTGCCCAAAATTCGTTGCAAAGTTCCATCGGCGTTGCGCAAGCAGACGAGGACCTCTTTGTCACAGATATGCCGTCCTACCGCATGGCTTCGGCATACAGTCACGAGTCAAAATTCACAACGATTTGAGAGTGCCCTGAAACAGGTGCGCGCTGGCTGTGTTTGATGGCGAATGTGAAGGTCGGTGCCGTGCAGCCAAAGGGCCGGCGTTGCTTTCGCTGCTCTTTGCGCTGAAGGGAGGGGATACACGCTTCTGCATGTCTCCCCAATTTGCCGCGGCTGGTATCGGATGGGCAAGTGAGGTGTCTGCTGCAACGACATCTTGTACCGACGATGCCTGCGGCATCAGCACCGATGCGATGTGAGCCCTCGCGCATACACGATGCCGCGTGTGATGAGAGAGGGGGAGAGAGAGAGAGAGGTGTTCGCGACGCCTTGCTGATGCAGGCCACAGAGCACTCAATGCACCTCCCTCGCCCATTTGGCCCTCTCCCGCCGTTCAAATCTGCCAGGCTGGGTCAAGAGCCACGCAGCCTCGCGAGTCTTGCAAAGCGTACAAATACCTCGTCTGACCGACTGCCATCCCATTCACCCAATCATCCGAACAGCGTTCCCCTTCCCCCCCCCCCCCCCCCCCCCCCCCCCCCCCCCCCCCCCCCCCCCCCCCCCCTTCCCGTATTCGGCTGTAGACCGCAAACGACGCGCCCAATCCCACCTTCCAGCACCCACCTTGCGTCGAGACAGTATGGATGAGCCAGTCAACTGTAGTCCAAACCGGGAGGAGCCCTTTGAGGGGTCCATCGGTCTTCGCATCGGTGCCATCTTCATCATCCTCGTCACCTCTGCCGCCACCACCCTCTTCCCGGTCATCACCAGGAGATTGCCAAGAGCCCACGTGCCTGACAGTGTCTTCGACTTTGCCAGATACTTTGGCTCTGGTGTCATCATCGCCACCTCCTTCATCCACTTGTTGGCGCCTGGCACCGAAGAGCTCACTAGCCCTTGCTTGAACGCAAACTTTCAAGTGTACCCTTTCAGCTTTGCCTTTGCCATGATCGCCGCTTTGTGAGTTCGTCGCGGTAGGTCTCAGGCGGCACGCGTGTGCGGTGCTTGCTGACCCTTTTCTTCTTTTTTGAACCCCATCGCATTCCTCAGCATGACCTTCTTCGTCGAGATCATGGCCTTCCGTTTCGGCTCCAAAAAGGCGGAACAGCTTGCGTACAATGGTCATGCTGGCGGGCATCATCATCCTGCAGAGCACGGTACTGTCCCACCCAACGTCACAGAGCCTCTTTCGGGATCGAGCGACGTGGAGAAGACGCACCAGCCCAAAGACGTTGGTCTCGGCTCTGACATTGAGGAGGTGGCCGTTCTTGACAAGGACGCCCCCTTGTCTGCTGCTGCGTCTCAGATCATTGGCGTACTCATCCTCGAGTTCGGTGTCATTTTCCGTGAGTGATTGCAGTCGCTCACCAGAAGCCGATCCATTCCTGACTTGCATTGCCGGTGTTGCCCCCACAGACTCTGTCATCATCGGCATTACCCTCGGCACCACTACAGACTTCACCATCCTCTTCATTGTCATCATCTTCCACCAGATGTTTGAAGGTCTTGGTCTCGGATCTCGACTCGCCACTTTGCCCATCTCTAGAAAGTCGCTGATTCCATACATCGGCTGCATTGCGTACGCTTTGGTGACGCCCATCGGTCTGGCCATTGGACTGGGCGTGCGCACGACCTACAATGAAGACAGCGCTCGCGCCAATTACGTGACGGGCATCTTCGACAGCTTCTCTGCAGGAATTTTGATCTACACCGGTATGGTGCACTGCTTGGCTCACGACATGATCATGAACGACAAGTTTAGGACCCTGCCAATGGGAAGGCTGCTCTTCAACATCTTCACCATGCTGCTCGGCGCTGGCCTGATGGCCCTTCTTGGTCGCTGGGCTTGACCGTCTGGTGCCGGCTGCAATTTCGGAGACGGGAGCGAGCTCGCTTCGTCTGGTTGCAGAGCTTTTGGTCTCCTGAAAAAGCCAGGGTTTGTGTCCCGCTGTTACTCTTCTTGCATCCAAGTCGCCATCGCTGGCGCTTTCTATTCTAGTGTACCATACCCGCCATTTCTTTACAGATGAACTCGATTCGTACTTGGCTCGATCATTTGAACGATGACATAGATGTTGCTAAAGCCGCGCGAAGAGTGGGGTCACGACTGGCCGCTATCAGCAGAGGCATGAATTGAGAATGCGGTTCGTCTCAAAGGGCAAGAAGGCGAGAAGGCAGGACAGGACAGGACGACTGCAGGCTTCATGCCACAGCCCTCACCGGATCCTGCTAGACGACGAGTATCAAAATGAGCTTTTGCAGCGGCAGCGCCCAGCGGACTTACAAAAGGGTTTGACGAATGACAATAGAGGCGGAAGGAAGAGTGGAGGTTGCGAGCGGGCACGTCGCGATCGAGTCGCGGCCCGCGTATCGAGATCTCGCACGACAGGCACGAGACGTGGCTTGCGGGGTACGCACATCCATCGTGCGGCGGTTCGTGCACCCATCATCACAAGTGTTACTTTCGCCTGCAAGTACCGACAAGCTATGGGGACACTTTGAGCAAGACTCTGGACTGTCATCAGCCTTGCATGCTTAATGGCAACGTCGAGCTGCTCAACCATCAGCCCCTCCGTCTGACGTCTGAGAACGAGCAGCATCCCGCATCCACGCTTCTTCTCCGAGACGCATTCGCCGCGCTTCATCATCGCCTTGATGCTCACACGCACACAAGCCGGCACAGTCGTCCGCTTCCGCTGCTAATACCTTGAACCACAGTATTCCTAGCAAGAAGCTGCGAACCTACCTAGCAAGGCTGAGTCAAGGAAGAGCGTTGTCAGTCTCCTCCTCGAGGTGACTTACCGTGATTGGATCCTCAGAAGACTGCTCTCAGCAGCGTGTAGCTGGAGGACACAGCGGAATCGCTTATTCGTATCGAGAGCAACGCTTTGCAGCTTCGAAGTCGCAACCTTGCACCTCGGACATGTCCAACACACAGCCGCCTTCTCGAGTGACTGGCCTCACTGGCCCGTCGCAGCCGAGCACCACAGCCACTACTCAGCAAAGCAATGCTTGGACCGCTTCCGAGCTGGAAGATTCCGGCTCTGAGGACGACTATGGATCCGACTCATCGTACGAGAAGGGGCAGGAGGAGGAAGAAGGGTCGAGGTTTGAAGAGCTTGGAGATGAGGTACTCAGCGGACGCGGCACGAATATTGAGGTGCTCTCCCCAGAGGGGTTGCAGGCGCGAGGGGAAGAGCTCATGGCCAGGCATCAAGCCTTGGCAGATGGCAATGGCATTCCGACGCCCATAAATACCGTATTGGACCTCCTGATCTGGTGCATGCCCTTCAGTAAGTCGTCTTCATGCTCTCTCTTGTACGTGCCTAGCACAGCTCACCCATGCCATTCGTCCTCATCAGCCTTCCTGTACCTTTTGCTGGACATCATGATTCAACAGCAATACGCCATGCATCCCACTTTCTTGATCGAGCTTGGCAGACTCTTGGGCACAGCACCCAGTGAGTAGCAGGTCATGGCGATTGGGTTCATGCGCATCAAATCCAATCAGCTCAACTCTTCGCATCTTGATAAAAAGTCCTCGCTGTGTTCATCTACTACAGTGAGTCAGAGAAACCGCAATCTTTGGAAAGCCCCGGCCACCCCCTCGCTGATACGAGACCGAGACCGTTCATCCTTCCTTTTCGAAGCGGCTATTCGAAGGATACGCACAACCCTCCAGGCAAGGCTGCTGGAAGGCTTCATCACGCTGCTTTCATTGGCGAGCGGAGTCGCGTTTCTGTGGGTGTACGCCAAGGCGAGTATCTGTACTGGCACAACGACACCTCGTTGCCTCTATTGGTTTCCCTTGCGCTGCTGACTCCAAATCAATGATCCCGACAGGCCCCGTATACTCAATCGACTCGTCAACTACCTCCTCTTGGGACAATATGGGTCTTCACCATCGTGAGACTGCCCCTTCCGCATGCTCTCGCTGCTCTAGCCATTGTTGCGGGCTGGACAAGGTATTCCGGTGTTTGGGATGCAATTGCAAGGAAATGACAGTGCAACGCGGTCGAGTGCCCAGCATCAGGTGCAACGAACGATGGATCATTTGTGACATTGCAAGCACAAGAACAAGGGAGATGTGGTCGAGTCAAAGCCATCTAGAGAGCAACCAAGGCAGCTCAGAAGGGCGGCGGGCGATATAGGAAACTGTGCGTGTGAAAGCCCGCAGTGCAAACGCGATGGCCAAGTAATCTTGCGAAAGAAAGCGCCCGGGGGGTGTTCTTTCTTTGTTTTTTAACCTCAATCGTCTGCTATGTATTCACGACCGAGTCTGTGATGCCGGTGCATTGGGAGCATTTGCTTGTCTGGCCAGACGCTGCAGGAGGTACAGGTCCTCCTTGTTGGTGCGTGCGCTCTGAGCAGCAGATCTTCCCACTACACCGCGAGAGGTCCCGCCGCGCGTATTGGTTGACGAGAGTGTCGAAACGGGGGCGGAAGCAGATGGATAGAAACATCGTACCTCTGCGCGATGCCTCTTCTCCGCGTCGATTGACTCGCGCCAGAGCTCTGTGTGAACATATGTCTGCATGTCTTTTGGAGGGCAAGAATCGCCACGTTGGATCGCCCGGGCAATGTTTGAGTAGGTCTCTTTGCGAGAGCGCTGTGTTGCCCTGCTAGCGCTCACAGCACGGGCGCGCTGAATCGCCTCGTGCACTCCAGTCTGAGACAATGTGTCTGTGAGAGGCAGCAGAAGATCTGAAGAGCGCATGCGACGCGCAACACCTGCTTCTGAGGACGAGGATCCCGGGTTGCGTGCCCCCAACTGTCCTCCCATAGCTTCCTCCACGACATGACGAGGAAGTGCAGGCGAGATGCCCGCAAGTTTGATCGCCACGTCGGCGGTACCGGGCTCGGATACGAGATCTAGGTCTTCGATCGAGTCATCTTCCAAATCAGCAAAGGGATCAGGCTCCTCCACACCGTCTGCGGGCACCCATTTCATGCTCTGAGCATCGAAGACCATGCTACCGACAACCTGAGGGCAATCCTTGTTCGTGGCTTTAGCGTGTCCGTGACCAGGGAGAAGCCCTGACGTAGAGGCTGCAGCAATCGCATGTGCTGATCGGTATGAAGGCGAGGCGATGGTGGGTGAACACAAGCGGCTTGCCCCAGCCCCGGCCGTTTGGTAGCTTGCCGGCATTTGCGTAATCAAAGCAGGTCGCGTGCTGCTGCTCAAAGCGTTCTCAAAATCCCTTAGCATGTTTTCGTTGCCTTCCCAGCAGCGTTTAACGCTATTCCACCGCATGTTACCTATCACTCTGGGCGACCATGAGGCTCCACCCAAATTGCGTATCAATGTAGGAGATTGAGATGTCCTACTTCGCCTGCGGGTCGCACGAGCGCCCAGTGGTCGCTCGTGGTTCAATGGAGCGTTTGGTCCGCCCATTACAATGCCTCCTTGATGAGGGATGGAGTGACGTTGCCGCGCTGCCGACGGCTGCTTCTCAGACCACTGGCGAGCCAGGTCAGATATCAAGTCTGCAGTTGTTTTGGCCTTCAATGTCGCGTCCCGCGCACCGCCGCTGGAGGTATTGGAAGCCGAACTGATCCGTCTCGGTCTGGCCGCAGCTACTGGGTCAGGTAAGCCGAGATTGGCTGTGAAATCGCCCGAATGAGGTCCTGCTGGCCCGAGGGCGCGCGGCCTCAGGTATCGATTCTCGTCTTCAGGATTGGTGGGAAGATCGTCAAAAGCATCGAGCTCATCGCCCGTGTATGCTCGCAATCTGGCCGGTCTCCGAAGCATCCGAACTTTGCTAGACCTCTTTGGGGATGCTTCGCGCAGAGGAGCGGGAGCACTGGAGCTACTGCCGTATGCAACATTGCCCGGTGATCTATGCGCTAGCGTTACAGCTGCAGCCCAAGGGCTTGGAGCCTCGCTCGTGGGCAAGGACCCTTGAGACGTACTAGAGCCGGCGAGGGAGATCCCGGACGTCCCTTGCCTCGGACGAGGGGCAGACGTGGAAGCAGCAAAGCGACTTGCTGATGCTTTCGTGGGCAAGAAGTACGAAGGAGTGCTAGGTCTTGCAGGCGGCAGAGAATCTGATCTCGTCGAGAGCGCAGCTGTTGCAAGCGCCGGGGGCTCGGTGGGAGCAGCAGATCGAGACGAAATAGCGGGTGGAGGAAATCCAGGCGACCTCTCATGATTGCTGCGTGTCGATGAACTTGAATCGGCAGACTGCGTCCTCGACTGGTGACGCATGTGAGGCAAGCTGCGCTTTTGTGATAGCTGTGAAGATCTCTTGGGGCCAAATTCCCCCACATTACGGCTCATAAGGTTGAGTGCCGCCGGTGGAGGTCGGAGACCGTGAGTGGAGGGCCGGGCAGATGCAGAGCCAGGCGCGCCACGCAGCTCGACTGCGCTCTTTTTAGGAGCGAGCGAGAGATTCCAGGGTCTCAAGACAGTCTGTGAAGGCCCTTTGCCCGTCGCGTGGCTGTAGGCTGATGAAGCCCTGGGCGGCGAGGACTTTGACGTGGACAATGTGCTTCGACCGACGTGGGAGGGCAATGCAGGAGGTAGAGCAGAGATACGTGGCAACGCTTGGACTTGCGGCACCGCGCCACCCGCATGGTCGGATGAATGCCGACTCGCCGCCACTCGGCGGGCTGCGGCAGACGACGATGGTCTTGGCTCACTTTCGGACCTGTGAGGCGCTGCAGGTACGTAGACCACTCCTCTTGTACCCGATGGAAGACGTTGGACCATTCTTGTACCGTAGCTCAGCGACTTTGCGTGTAAGCGACCCGAAGATAAGTCCATGTCGTCAGAGATGACAAGTCCTGAAGCAAAGTCGCGTTCGCTCTCTGTCGGGCTGAATGGCGAAGGAGGTCCAAAGACACCGGAAGCAGAAGCTGACGGACCGCGTTCTCTAGCATGCAGCACAGCCCGAAGTCGCTCATTGGCAGACACGGCTGTTTCTAAACTTTGACGCTGCTTGCCCTGGCGTTGCGCTGCGGTATCAGTGTCAAAGAGGCCTGCAGGCACCTCGAGACCCTCCAACAAGTCTTCGCCCTCGTCATCAGCGTCACTGTCTGGCGTCACCTTGGCTGACGGTCCCTCGCTCCCCAACTTTTGCGTAGGGGAACGCTGGCTACTAGGATAGTCTGTCTGCTCCGACTTTGCCGAGCTCCCAACCGACATGGAGTGCGGATGGTCGTCCCATAAATCGCTGGCCTTCTGTGTTGACACATTGCCATCGGGTTTCGTCAAAGCAGGGCTCAAATGTAATCGATCGAGTTGCGGACTAAGATTGAAGTCGTTTTCAAAATCGTCAAAGTCGGCCGGAACCGCGATAGGCTTGGCGTCGAGGCGCTGCTGCGTCTCTCCTTGGAGCGCATGATCACCAAATGCCTTTGACGAATGACGTGGAGGCGAGAGCAGCGATGATGCCGCCGAGGATGAGGCGGAGCCCGGAAATCTGCCATGGCTCGAGTGCAAATCACCGCCGACCGAGCGCGGGAGGAAGCTGCTGCTGTTGCTTGTGGCATCGCTGGTCTCGCCGCCGCTGCGGGCATCAAAGTCTGCATCGCCACTGACAGCAGAGGTGGACGTCTTGCGCAGCCTGGGTTGGGATGGCAGCAAGTCTGGCAACTCCAGATCATCTTCCCAATCGCCTCCTCCGGCTGCATCCATGCGAAGAACGCGTCCGCAGCCGCTGCGCGAGCCAATGCCGCGCAAGTGGGTCACGCTGCCGGCGTAGGTGATGGGACTTGCAGCACTTCGGATGCCGCTCGACCGAGAAGCCGCACTGGCAGCGGCAAGCTGAGCAAGAGTGTTGCCAGCGAGGGCGGAGAGCTTGATGGTGTCGGTTTGGTCATCATCCGCGTCGCTAAGTTGGGCAACGTCCGGCCCCTTTTCGCTGGTGGACGCACTCGCAGGTAAATCCCAATTCTCCTCTTCATCGTCGTCTGCGTGCGAGCCTGACGCGACGTCCTTGCTGAGATTGCCAGAAGCAGCGAGGGACTCGCCTGATCGGTGAGAGACGACGCTCCGAGTCAAGGCGCTCGGACCGAAGGAGCTGGGACCGCTAAAGTCGGACAAGTCAAAGTCCTCGTCGTCCCATCGTTCTTGCTGGGCACCGCCAAGGGCGCCTTGCGTAGCTTTTTGCATTCCTGCCGGCGTGGAGAAGGCACAGAGCCTTCAGAAGATCCCGTCCGCTAGGCTGAGAAGGGGAGTGTCCACGAGCGCGTGCGCAATTTACGGCAGTGGAGCTGCTCAAGTCCCAGCCATGCTGGCGGGCAGCATTTGACGTGTAGCCAGAGGACGTTGAGGCTGGAAGGAGGTAGTGTCAGTGGATACTTCTGTGAGTGAACCACCACGATAAGCGGCAAGCGTCAACCAAAAGTCGCGAAGGCTAAGCAGCAAGGTTCTGCATTTGCGTACCTGCCTGTCAAATTGAGGCACAACGAGGCCTCCGGTCGACGATGCACGTTGTGTGTTCTGCCTTGCAAGGTGAGTGCAAAGCAGCGATACAGCTTGCAGACGCCGGTCTGTGCTGCGGATGGAGGTGTCGCTGGACGATGCGGTGTGCGATCAAGGATGACGCGAATCGTGTCGCGTACGCCCGCGCCCCTTTGCTTGATCGGCTGGGTCGCAACTATACTTCAAGGAGTCGCAGCACAATCTTTGCTGCTGGTTATGGTCATCTATACTCTTCGTCTCTGCAAGAGAGAAGGCCGGAGAAGGAGTATGTACGATGTCGCGGACGAGATGCGTGAGAATAAAGTCAGACGGCACAAAGCCATGCGATGCAGAAAGCCGGACTACGGTGGATGGATGGATTTGATGGGATGGGATGGGATGAATGGAATCTTGACGCGTGACCCATCCGCGACTGTGACTGCGACTCGATCATGGCGCGCGATGGATGTGCTGATTCCCCCCGCCCCGCACGCGCCCTGCAGCATATGCGCCCACCCAAATCCTCCGCCCCTCGACTCTCGACTGCGACGACCTGCCGCTTCCAAACGCCCGCACAGGCACGCACGCAGTCACGAGTCAGAGTCGCTCCATACCACCCTCTTCCCACGCACGCAGCGCCACGCCCTCTGTAACGCGACAGTATCACGTGACTTACCCATCGCGCACCGCTTTCATGCTGAACCAAACGAGGCTTCTTTTGACTCCGTCGTGACTAATACACAACAAGCTTGCATGTGATGATTCAAGTGGTCAGGCTTTGCAGAGCCTCGAGTCGATGCGTCGTCATGATCCAAACGTAAATTGGTCTATCATGGAAAGGGATTCGGATTCCTACGAAAGAGACACTGAGCTGAACACCTTTCTGACCACCAATCTACGGCTGCTCGCCCAGCTTTTCGAAAGAAGCGCGCACAGCTTTACGAATGTCCTGCGTGACCTCTTCAATGGGGCGCACCGAGTCCACCTGAGTGGAGATGATGACCACGGATGTGAAGGTAGCAGCAGCACTGTGTCAGCTCTGCTCGGCAAGCGAAAGTCCGCTCGGGCACAGATGCAGCACTCACCTCCACTACCTGACCGTGCTCTCTGTAGTGCGATACGACTGGCATGCTGGTCTCGACGAATGTGCCTGGCAGTGGAAAATGCGGTGCTCGAAGGGATGTGAGCTGCATGTGAAGGGCCGACGAACATGCGCTTGCCCACTTACGGAAACGCTTCTTGATGCTCTCTGCATTGTCATCCGTCCTTCCGCTGGTCTTGCCGCGCTCCAACAGTCGCTCCAGCATGGTATCCTCATCGGCATTGAGAAACAGCACAAAGCGGTTGGGGCAGACCTGCAGGTCGACGGTGCGGTGCACGCAAGGCGTTAGCGTCGGCCTGTGTCGGCGGATGGTGGCAACAAAGTTTGGACTACTCACTTGCTCGTCGAAGAGCAGAGCCTGATCCATTTTGCGTGGGAAGCCATCGATGAGGAACCTTCCCTTTCCATCGCTCCACTTTTCCCTCTGAGACTCCGGCACCAACTTGCTCGCACCGCTGACTGAAGCGCCGGCACTGTCCAGAGCCGCCTTCATGGCGTTTCGCAGCAATCCGATGGTGACCTCTTGAGGCACAATCTTGCCCTCCTTGATGTGCTCAGCGATCAGCGCTCCATACTGACTGTCTGGACGCTGCTGCTCCGCTCGCAGCAAATCACCGGCTACACATCGAGCGAGGGAGGGAGGAATGCGCAAGTGAGTGGTGGCGACTTACGAGATGCTAGCAGCCCGATGCAGCCAGATGTAGGATCTGCTAGCCCCTTGCCGGCTCAAGAGTACGGCGCACAACTCACCGCTCAGGTGTACGAAGCCAAAGTCATTGACCAAGCGGGCACACTGAGTCCCCTTTCCAGCACCGGGACCGCCCAGCACAAAGATGACCGTCACCTTCTTTGGATCGAATTCGGGCATGTTGGGCGGATGAGTGAATGCTCAATGCCGTCACTGCGGATCTTGATTGCGAGGAGGTACGAGGGGGTTTGCGTGGTGTATACGCTTTTCTCGCTGATCTTTGAGCGGATCGTTGGCTCGCTTGCGCACGACGTAGGCAAAGGCCACGGTGGATGCGAGAGCGATGGCTGCGAATCCCAACAGCGATGGTCTGCCACCACTGACGTTGCGACTGCCACTCTGCGGCTGCGCTCTGATGGCAGGTCGGGGCGATGCGGTGGATGCGGTGGGAGCCCTACGATGTCCTGGATCGCGTTTGGGAGGGGCGCTCTGGACAGGCATAGGATGTCATTCGATGGTCGCGGTCAAGTGTGCTGGCTCGATTGTGCAATTCGAGAGGCGAATGCTTGGAGGTAGAATGGGCCAGAGGTGTCAAACTGATGTGGGTGGGTAGCGCGAATGATGGGCACATCAAGCGAGCAGCGTCACGAGGTGTGATTGTGATTGTGAGTCACGAGTGTTGTGAGTAGCCTCTCTCTCCTCCCTCTCTCCTTCCCCTCTCTCCCTCCCCCGCCCCCGCCCCCACCATCCCACTTCTCTCCCTTGCATCGCTCGCCTGCCTTTGATCTTGGATGGCTATTCAAATTCGAACTTTGAGTCATGAGTCTTGATCCGTGCGTTCTCGTGTCGGATACGCTCCCGTCAGCAAGGCAGTCAGTCAGCGTCACCGCGTGCAGGTGGTACGCTACGCTACGCTGCAGCATGCGTGCGCCCGTGCTCGAGGGTTGATCAAGAGTCACGTGATGCATCCATTTCCATCCCCACCTTACGCGGCCCACCAAATTCGCCTTTAGCATGCAGCAGCAGCAGCAAGCAGCAGCGACCACGACTGCGTGATGCCGACCGGCGCCAATGTATTCGAGATGTAGGGACCAGAAGGGGTTGAGGTTGCTCTTGAGTTCTCACCATCATCGCCATCACCGCCATCATCGCCATCCTCTTCTACGACGACACGACTTGCGTCACAAACTTGTGAATCGCTTGCACTGCCACCTTGCCTTGTGACATCTGGTCATATCGACCCTACCCGACGCTCCCTGCACAACGTCACTGGCTGGTCGTGGTTCGAAATCTTGCTTACTGGGTGCCGCACAGCACCTCGAGAGGCTCGCCATCTCCTACCGTGCCTGCATTTCATCGACTTGCTGTCCGCCATGCCGCAACGTCCACCCAAGACACCCAGCACGCCTGGCCCTTCACACAATGGTGCCCACAGCCATGGCCCTGCGACTCCCATGCCCGAGGAACCGCCTGCAGTCTGTGCGGGTGGCACGTACACGCTGGAAGAGGTTGCTGTTGGGTGCAAGATATTTGTGCAAAAGCCCGATTTGGCAACGGGAGAGATGGAGGAGCGCATGGCAGAGATTCTGTCCATACGAGAAAAGCCGAAGCCCAAGCGCAAAGTGGGAGAGAAGGACAGTTCAGCTGCTCTGCCAATCACCGAAAGGCTCGAGTACTATGTGCACTATTCCGAGTTCAACAAGCGTCTCGACGAATGGGTGCTCGCAAAGCGTCTCGTCCTCTCCCGCGACCTCGCTTTCCCTGCTCCACCGCCACAGCAAGCATCCGCCCAGCCAGGCTCCAATCGTAAAAAAACTGCGCAGCATAGGGGCAGCCTACCGGGCACTCCATCTGCTGCACCAGCAACTCCCACAACGGGTGGAAGGACGTCATCGTCGGTCAATCTGCTGAAACAAGCTGCCTTGGCCGCTGCTCAGGAAGCTGGCGATGCCGCCAGTCAGGGTCGGGATGGGTCGCAGCTTGCGGCTGGCCAGAAACGTCGGGCAGCATCTCACGAGTCTGACGATGCTGGCAGCGAACCCGTCACACCTTCCACGCCCCACGGGGACGTGGAAATGTCAGATGGCGAAGCTGGCCCGCCGGGTGGAGGTGTGGCGGGCGAAGGAGATGCCGTCGTTTCGATGGAAGTGGTCACAGAGCAAGATGGCGAAGGCGAAGACGTTGGACCGCAAGATGTCCTTGCTGCCTCGGATGGCACGTCGCTGGACCCCAATGCCCGCAAAAAAGCGCCTATCAGCAAGGAGGCCGAGATCGAAAAGCTGCGTACCAGCGGTTCCATGACGCAATCATCGCATGAGGTGTCAAGAGTCAAGAATCTCAACAAGATCCAGATGGGAGCACACGAGATCGAGACTTGGTACTTTAGTCCATATCCAGTCGAGTATGCGTACGTCGATATGCTCTACATCTGCGAAATGTGCCTCAGCTACTTCCCTAGCGACTTTATGCTTCGTCGTCATCGGCAGAAATGCGGCTTGGTACACCCGCCGGGCAACGAAATTTATCGACACGAGGATATCTCGTTCTTTGAAATTGACGGCAGAAGACAGAAGACGTGGTGCCGCAATCTATGCTTGATCAGCAAATGCTTTCTGGATCACAAAACGCTGTACTACGACGTCGATCCTTTCTTGTATTACGTGATGGCTCAAAGGGATGATGCCGGCGTCCACATCATCGGCTACTTCTCCAAAGAGAAAGAGAGCGCTGAAAATTACAACGTCGCTTGTATCTTGACCCTGCCACAGCATCAGCGTTCGGGATTCGGAAGGCTACTCATCGAGTTCAGCTACGAACTTACTAAACGTGAACATAAGCTGGGCAGCCCCGAAAAGCCGCTTTCGGATTTGGGACTACTCGGGTACCGAGCGTATTGGGCGGAGACGATCGTTGAGCTGCTTCTGCGCACAGAGGAAGACATCTCAATTGAAGAAATCTCCAACAGGACTGCCATCATTCCGTCTGACGTCCTTCACACGTGAGTCGCCGTCATTCGAGGGATCGGACAAGATCCTTTGTTGCTTACATCGCTAGTCGACCGCCCTCATGACAGCTGCACTGCGCTCAACATGTTGAAGCACTATCAAGGCAAGCACTACCTGGTGCTGAACGACACAGTGTTGCAGCAGCACGAAAAGCAAATGAAAAAGAAGCGCCGAAGGATTGTGCCGGAAAAATTGAACTGGGAGCCGCCGAAGTTCACCAGGTACGTGCGCAGAGCTTGATAGGGTCGTGAATTTCGAGCCGACACCATCAGCGGAACTTTGCTGATCGAGTCGCGCACTCTTAACCCTACAGAGAACAATTGCGTTTTGGTTGGTAAGCTCTTCTGTCAAATCTCCAGCCTTTGCGAATCGCCTGCCCGTGTTCCGTTCGAGCTGTAATTTCCCATTGTGTATCATAGCAACATCCACACGCTACAATCTATGCGGTTCTTCGGGAGTGATTGCTCAGCTACTGGTGATGACTTTATTGTGACGGTCCCAGCCGTCGTCAAAATACATGTCTGGCTGGGAAAGCCGTGCAGTAGCTGATCATATCTTAGGTGGAGCCGTGTGACGACACGAAGCTTTCACCTGCTGGACATATCACTTCAGCAGACCGAAAGTGGGAGTAATCAATGCTGCTCATCACTGCCATTCCGGTCTTGGGCGAGAACCAGACAAAGTATTGCCTGAAAGACGAGAAGGATCACCAACTAAGATGAAAGATTGCGTGATCAAGACACAGAAGCACCAGCTCAGAATGAAAGAGTGCCGATCAAATCCAAAATTGTTGCGACGTTGATTGAAAAATCGACAATTTAAGATGAAGGATCAACTTATCAAGGCCACAGATGAGCTGAGAGAGCATTTGAAGCGCTTGAGCAAGATCTGCAGTGCTAGTGATGGTGAGCAAGGCAGCGCATCATCCAACATGTGTGTCTTGAGCATAATGTGGTGCAAGAGCTTCGTCTTTTGTTGCGCGTCTGCTGAGCATTCACGACCCTGGCAAGACAGAGTCGGAAGTAAGCAGTGGTTGCAAAGACTCTGAGCCAGGCACAGCCAGTATTGTTGCCACAGGAACAGGGAGAAGAGGCCAAGCAAGGGAAGAGTCAAGCAATAAGGAAAGAGAGAACGCTCAGTCAAAGGGCTGTCTTGCCAACTCGAGCCCCAGTCTGGCCAGTAGAGTGCCTTGGGGAAAAGGACCTCTTTTTCTGGGTGATCTATCTTTCGACGACAACTCAGAGGAGGAAGAGATGTCTCTGCAACCGGATGGAGAGTCCAGCAACAGGCACAATGTCGACTGGTCCAGCACGCCCCCTGCCAGCACGCTCCCTGCCAGCACAGCCCAGACTCGCGCAGCAGAGGACTGAGGCCAAGTTGGTGGAAGTCATTGCAATCGCTGGGATTCTGGAGGCTGGCAACCTTATGGTTTAAGCAATGGATTTGGTGAGTAGTGATGGTGAATGTAGGGGCTGCATACATGCAAGAGAATCATGCCTCACCGTTGTCCTTATCTCTCAATGCGTAATCAAGCATCTTGGCATGGCAACAGTCGGACAAAGAGCAGGACTGTGAGTGTCTGCTGATCGCCTTGGCAGGACCGTTGTCCCTGAACTCAGCCAGGGGTGGTCTGCACGTCCAATTCAACCCTGCTCCTCAACACCACAAGGCAGTCTTGCTGCTCTTGGATGGAGCTGGCATGCAAGGTGGATGTCCTGCTGCTGTGGGCAAAGTGAATGCAGGCATTGCCAATCTCATCCGACAGAACCATGCCCATCTCTGCCACTTGGATTGCTTGACACCAGATGCTCCTGCAGCACTGCAGAGGGTGATCAACATGGCCAGTTGCAGCAGCATCAAATCAGTCATTGTCATGAAGGACATCACTGCCGAGGATCTGCGCAGCCAGCACAGTGACGACTATGGGCTCTTTGGCCTTGGTTGCAGGCAGGGTCCAGCAACATTCCAGCGGCTACTTGCTCTGATGGACTATAGCCATGACAACACGGTGTAAAACGGAATAGATCAACAGAGAGCAACCCCAGCCTATGCTCAACGTCATGTGATTGACTTTTGGCCCCATGGGCCCAATCATGGCTTAATCTTGCTTCACACCTTCATGTGTGCTTGCTTGTTGGTCACTTTTGATGCGCCCATTGTCCGATTCACCTCGACCTCCGTCATTTGGATCATGTGCAACTGCATCAACAAGATTCTTTGTGATGTTGCGCAAGAAGTTGGCCCTCATCTCTTGGCAGATGTGCGCACTGGCATTTGATCTATAGCTGATCTAGGCACGGCCATCTTTGACCGGGGACACCAGAGCAACATACGTTGGCAACAGGAAGCAGGACGGTCTCAGCGCTTCATGGTGGATCTCTGCAGAACCACCTGCTTGTCTTCAATCATGCTGAGGAGCAGTGAAGATGTACTTGTTAAGTATCACTTCTTGGCCGTCCTCACTGCCCATGAAGGAGTCCTCAAGTACTTGCCAGACTACAATAAGGACTGGAACTTGCTCATGTACCTTTCCAATGCTGTGTTTTGTGCTGCTGAAGAGCTCCAAGACCGGCAGCTTCTCGAGGGTCTTGTCAGGGAGTCTGGAGTTGCCGCTTTCATCTCACAGACCTGCAATTGCCTCAAGAAGTTATTTCTGGTCCAAGGGTTCATCTTTTGGCAGGCGCAAGACAAGGAGACTGACAACAGCAATGATAGCAACAATAATGACAATCACCCTGGCGCTCCCGATGACGAGCACCATGCTCATCACGTGGATGACCTCAATGACCCTGAGGAGCCAGAGGTGACGAGGGTGTGCAAAGATGGTGCTTTTGTGTCCCTGCCAGTGGGACCATCGGACTACCTTTGCAAGCCCAAAGACCAGCGTGGCTAAGCTTTGTCACTGTCGTCTGCTGATTTGGAAGAGGACAACACCGCTGAAGAGGACAGTGAAGTTGAGGGCGACGAGGATTATGTTGATCCCACCAACAAGTTCAGCTCTCTTCCGACACCCAAGGATGGGAGCAATCTCAAGCGCCAATGTGCTGCGCCAGTTGTGGAGGAAGACGAAGCTGGCTCTCTTTCAGACCTATCAGACATACCGCCGGCTTCATCACCGGGCCATGGCCATTGCGTCGTCAACATTTGCGCTTTGCCTCACCCCTTGAGAGCAAAACAAGAGCCAGCTTCGATCCGGCAGCATTGTCATCCTGTCCATCTGCTCCAGTAGCTTCACCTCAGCCTTCTACCTTTGCGGTGGTATTGTCTCCGTCCTCCTCTGCTCCCTGAGACAGTCACTCGCTCACTGGAGTGGCTGCGTCCTTGCGCGTGCCAACCCGTTGTCTCTCCCTTTCGACGTCAGCACCAGGCGCGCTGTCCTCTGCTTGTCTGCTACGGTCCCAGGATTGGCGTCAGGCCCATCTGTTGCCCCAGTCGGACCGCTCCCTGTCAGCACGCTCCCTGCCAGCACGCTCCCTGTCCCCGCCAGCCCATGGCCAATCAGCTACTCGCAGCAAGGACCTAAAGATGTCAACATTGCTGAAATCATTGAGAAATGTTTTGGCTCTGGTCACAACATCATCTTTGGAGTTTCCAAAGCTCGAGGTGCTGCTGTGAGTAACGTGGCAAAGCAGAGATCTGCTTGGGCTATGCTGTTTGACAGCACAGAGCAGATTAGGTGCAGGCGTGCCAAAAAAGGTGCAAGAGACAAGATCTTGCCGATGTAGGTGGAGCGCAATGAAAGTGTTGAGACAAGTTCATGTCCCAAGGCAAGCGCAAGAAACAAGATCTTGCTGGTGTAGGTGGAATGAGATGAATGTGCCAAGGCAAGCTCATGTCCCGAGGCAAGCTCAAGAGACAAGATACACAAGCATCTCTAGTTTGATACCTACCTCTGCTTCAACCTTCCCGCAAGCGCGGCGCTTAGCTTGTGATGAGAGTGTCATTCACAGTTTCCACATTCAGTTGCTTGATCTGAAGGCGCTGGCGCTGCAGATGGCTCTTGTCAATTTTTACCAGGCGCAAAGCTCTAGTTGTAAAGCTTGAAGTCTAGTCTTGAAAGGGCCTGGCCGTTGATCATGGAGCCATTCTACAACTCTGTCGAGCCGGGTGTCACTCAGGCAAAGACATTTTAACGTCTGATCGATGTGACATTTCGAAGTGGGCGCACTCTACAATCTTCAGCTGAAACAAGAGCAATTCAAGAACATGGAAGCATTGGATCTTTTGAGTCGTGGTAAAGTCAAAGTCAAGCGTCCCTGATGATGTTTCTTCTTTCGTCGCTCAGAACTCACCTTTGCACCTCTCTGGGCGCAACGGTCCTATCGCTGAGTTGTGACGTTTCTTCAATGTTGTCTTCAGTGTTGAACTACGTTCCCGTCTTCTCGATCTATCACGCACCCAAGTCCCACAAAATTTGCGCAGACAACAGAGAGCCTTCTCAAATCTTAAAACTACCCAGCGCTCCTGTCCTGTACAGTCAACAAGCGTGAACCAGTGTCTGCAGCTAAAAATCGAGAGAGTGCCAAGATAGACCAGATGATTCCCACGCAAAAAGGACGAGGGATTCGGACGAGGTCAGTGTGCTACCCGGGCAGACAATCGAGCTAGCTTCGGCTTGTGACCGTGGAACTTTCTCTACTTTGTTCGACCCCAGGCGAGGTCGCCATTAGCCTTTAGGTCTTAGGAGCGACAAAGCTGGTGGTCGTTTCAGAGTGGCGCGTAGGATTTGAAGGACCTTCTTCTAGGTTGCATCCAACATCCCAGCTTCCAATCAACAACCACGACAAACTGAGCTCAGGCGCCTCGAGCTCCCTGTGTCTCAGGCAAGGGAAAGGCATTGGCTCTACACAAAGGTTGCAGCTGTTGTTGACACTCACCAAAAGATCCTCAAAGAGCGCTGCCTGCAGAAGTGTCGCGGCTTGTCCGCAAGGCTGGGCTGGATATCAAGACGCACCCAACATTTGCCACCACCGGTCGGCGACTAGTGCGGGCTTTCTTGGCAAAGAGCAGCATCGATCTGCTCAATGCCGTGCCCATCGTCTTGATCATCGGCAGCGCTGCCTTGGTCACCGTGCCTTCTCTGGAGATACCGCACACTTCTCTTGATGACATTGATGACAGTGACAATGACAACCCCAACGAGCACCCAATGATTGCGCACCAGCGCAACAGCATTGCAAGAATGTTTGCCGTTGCTGCCCACCTCGCAGTGAATTCCAGCCCCTCTCTCATCCGCCCCCTTCTGGACTGCTGGCCGACTGCATCCACCCTTACCAGCATCAGCGTGTCCTGCCCCGTTGTTCACAAGTCAAAAAAGACCTTTGCGCTGCTCTTTGGGCGCAATGACGTCGTCTTGCGGATGCCCCTCACCGCTGGCGCCATCACCTCTTCCCTGCAGCACGTCTACTTGACTCTTGGTCTCAAGTCTGACAAAAAGTACCTCTCAGGGACTGGGCCCGTGCCCCTTGCCGACAACCACAAGCGGAGCTCTGACCAGATGAGCCGGAGGGCAGTCGTCGGAGCACCAGCGCAGTGATGCTGCTGTAGACTGACCCAGCCTCATCACCCGCCTTGAGAGTCTAGAGCTTGTTTTGCATGGCAGCTTTGATGGCCATGCTAGCATTGCCAATGACATCTTTCTCCAAGCTTTCACCGGCTCATTGGCAACTAAGAGGCACAAGCGCATGCAGGCCATCACAGCAGGCAAGGCGAGCACACAGGAATGGTCAGCAATTGTTTGTCAAACAGATTGTTGACAAGAGAGAGTTAAAGCCAAGCATGCGCAACGCTCTCAGGCGACGAGCCTTTGTCGGAAGTCAGAAGAGCGCTCTAGACATCAGGCTGATGTTGCATGACAAGTCCGTTGGTGAGGCTGGTGCTATTACTGTGGAGGAGGCAGGACAGCAGCACGCGCGGATTATGCACTCGCCTTTGTTTGGAAAGCCTCCCCTCGGCCACACTTGCAACATTGGTGTCGTGATTCGCTTCGAGTGGCACTCCGAACAGCTCGAGCAGGTCCTCCTAAGGCGTCGGGGGAGCTGGCATCAGAAGCATCTGAAAGCGCCAAAGTAATAAGAAGGCCTCTGATGTCAGAGCTCTGCTCTTTGACGAGCTTGAGCACAGTCAAAAGCTCATGGCTAGAGCTGTTCTTGTATTGCAGGCTGTCTTGATGTTTGTTGTCCAGATCCTTGCTGATCTTCTTGACATCGGTGCCAGCAGTTTTAAGCTGCTGAACAACAACGTCAATCTGAGACAGGATAATGAAAGCGTTGCTGACGCGTCGGAGGCAAGGACAGCAGGTTGATCAGGTGTGTTGTTGACAAGATTGGGACTCCCCATGAGCTTGCTGTGATGCATCTCAATCAGGAGCTCTGTCCATGGCGCACTGCTCATCTCATGATCAATGATGCTAAGGTTGTGATGCAGAATGCCAATAGAGGTAGCATTGCCAGTACTGACAGCAAGTCTGTAGTACGCGCAGATAGATGCGCACTGGAGTGATTGTCCAAGATCAGACAGCGTCTGCTCAAAAGCCCAATAGCAATCAACAAGGTGCTTGATGTGCCCACAGATGATGTCAAGGCACATGCTGGGCTTGAAGGTGCCTTGGCCGCCAAATATGAGCATGTAAGCCTGTGCACCCCAGCCAGAGTGGGCAACGGTGCCTCTTGTATTGCAATGTCCGTAGATAAAATAGTCAGCACGCTCCCAATCACCTCTTTTCCCAACAGTACATGATCGTACAGCTCTCCCAGAGACTCAAAGAGTGGGCCCTCTTCTCCCATCTCCTCCATCAGCTTGGTGAGAAAGGCCTGCTCCTTGTTCACCAGCTTTCTGCGCTCCAACTTTCCTCCATCTTTCATACACGCTTTGTATTGCTTGGCTGCTTCCTCCAAAAAGACATCAATGAGGTCTTTCTTGCCACGCTGGCTTGCAATCTTTGCACAGCGCAGCAGCTTGTTTGTGGGCTCCTCCTTGCGCACCCTTTTGCTGGGCGAGGAGGAAGTGAGGGCCATGGAGGAGCGCTTAAATGTCGGCGACCTCGAGATTCTCTGCAGCTTGCTGTCCGACACATCATCCTCTTCCTCCTGGCCTTCTGCACCTGCACTGTCTTCCTCTGCAATTTTCTGAGCCTGCTTGACCCAAAACATCTGGCTATTGTCGGTGCTGCAGAGTGATCACTTGCATGAGTGCATATATGCGCCTCCTGCACAGCATTGAACTCACTTGATGACAAGTCCCACCTGGTGAGAAGCACTTGCTGCCAGCTCCGTCTCGTAGGGCACGCTCTTCTTATCCACCTTGATGCTGGTGTAACACTTTACCCCAGCCCAAGATTCTTCACTCAGGGAGCACAAGAACAGATACCTGGGCTTATCCTTGCAAATGATGGATCTTCTGCATAAGCTGCAAGTCAATGCTCCCAAGGCGGTGAAAGCGGCAGCAGAGAAGACCAATTGGGCATGGTGCAGGGCTATTGCTGTTGGACAGCAGTCATTGTTGTGGCGCTGCACGTCCACAGGCTCCAACTGTGGCTTGCTGATGATCATTGAAAGTCTTGTAAATTTGGTTGTCTGCTTGGGTGTTGGAGGCAGTTCTGGCGTAGCTGCGGTCTAGAGTTGTGGAAGTTGACTTGAAGGGCGCAGTAAAACTCTTGCAAAATACAAGGCTGAGGTGATGTTATGATTGATACAAGGCTGCATCAAGAACATGCCTGCATCCAGTGTCAGCACAAGCGGGTGCTGAAGACGATGATTGGCTCATAGATCTCTTCCACGATGCCTACATGTCCAACACTTACAATCGCGACAACCTCACCAATTAGAGTGAGGAAGACAAGACCCTTATCCAGCAAAAGAGAGTCCAGACAGACAAGGAGTTCACAGAGGTGGCAGTCGGCTGGCGCTTGCATGCGCTGACATACCTTTACATTGCAGTCAATAAATATTGCCACCATTTCCCGAGCGTTGTCACCTCTGAGCATATTGCTTGCTTCAACATGCGGCTTTTGAAGCAAGTCTTTTGGCTTGCGAGGGTGAATCACTAGTTCAAAACGCTTGTCAGCCGTGACTGAGACGGTTTGTGGCATCCAGGTCCAACGCTTCAGCCTTGGAGGAGACTGAGCAAGATTGAGGCACCAATCAAGTCGTAAAGGTTGGAGGTATGCTCTTGCCTAAGCCCAAGCAGAGAAGTCAGCGCGCGACTTGTGTTGTCTTCAAATGTTTGTACACGACGCGGACAGCCTGGGTACTAAGACGGACAAAATGGACTTGGGTTTAAGTGGTAAAATTTCTTTTTGGCTTTCTTCGGAGCCTGCCCAAGGTCAGCTGGGCTGAGTGGGCCACCATTTTGTTCCAAAGGTAGGCTGTAGGAGCATTTGACCTTGTTCGACAGGATGTTTGCACACGAGCAAGGCCTATGACAACATTCACATTTCACCCCTGTCATACCAACTGCTGGTCAGGGACGACCAGGATCGGAGGACGCAGAGGCAGCCGGTGTTCCTTCTTTTGATAGATGCGCAAGATGCTAGCAAGTTCGCAAGGCAAAGCAGAACGTCGCAAGTGATTCTCATTGCAAATGAAAAGCCTGGCAGTCGGACCTGCGCTGGAAAGACACTACTCCATGATTGCGAGCACACAGAGAGCATGGTGAGCCCAGCTCACATCACATATGCGCGAGAGAGGTGCCACGAAAGCCGTCAGAAACAGCGAAAAGCTCAAACAGTCATCAACGGTGCTGAATGAAAATCAATGACAAAGTGAAAGAATGTCAAACGAGGAGGCATCGACCCTGGAATCAGAATTTGACCTGGGTGAAGATCTGTAGTGAAAATATACACAGCCAATGGTAGTTGATGCTGTGTCAACGCATTGGGACTATATTACGCAAACGAGTCTGGATGTCACATCATTCTCATGCTCTTGTGCATATGAAGCTCTCGCGAACGTCGGTCGTTATTCAACTTGGACCAGTCACGCGTGTCTTTTCTCGCCTTGAACAGCTACATACCCAAGTTTAGTCCAAAATTAGTGGCAAAAATGCCATCGAGGGGCTCTTTCTTTGACCTCTCACGCCATTGGTCTCCTACCACACCTCGGTCAGAGTACTTCATAGGTGGAAGGTGATTATGCAAAGCATTTGGCCTCAGGTAAATTCTCATGCCAAGCTGCTTGTGGGGCAGTTGCTCGTGTATGTTATGGCTCTTCTTTGGAAAGCTTGTCAGGTGGAGGGTCTGAATGCATTGAGCAGGGACAAGACTGAAGTCTGGCTGCATTTGGGCATTTCACTTGACCAGGCAAGTCGCCACATCTCTTGCTACAAGGACATGGCAGAGGTTGCAGGTCCGGGTCTGTGCAACGAGAATAAGGAGGAGTCTCTCTGCGCGCGCATTGCGTTCTGTCTTTGGTGAAGATCGTTCTTGCACGAGTTCTTCTTGCCATTGGTGAGTCAGCCTTGTCCACAGGGGCGTCCAAAGAGCAGGTTTACACGACGTTGGGCTGGTCTTGCTCCAGATTTGGATGCGATATTATCGGCCCGACTCAGCACAAGCCCGCTTACTAAGATATGTAGCGTTTGCTCCTCACACTTCAATCGACGCCTGTTTCAAGCCAGGCAAAGAGCCAAAATGCTCAGGCAAGAATCGCGTCGAAGTTCCGGAGGTCCAAATTCCAAGACAATGACAAAGATACTCATGCGACTCTTGAAGACTGTCTCTTTCTGCAAAAAAGACGGGAATTGAGGCTGTCTTGTGAAAAGCAAAAATTGCCATCTTGATGCGATTGGTATTACGATCTGATTGAGCTGGAAAGGATCAACGCCTTAGCACCTAAGCAAGAAACGCGTGTGTTCCAGCCCTCGAGAGCTTCATCTGGTACGATCGCCATTTTCTGAAGGTCTCGATAGACAGACAAGGCACGAGCAGTGGAACGGAACAACTTCACGGCGCCGCGAAGGGCGAAGAATTCCAAGACAAAAGAGCCGATTGATGGGAATTCCTAGTATAAACAACGATATGCTCAGAACGTTATCAGCGGTGCAGAGTGAAGATCCATGACGAAGTGAACATATGGCAAGCGAAGAGGCATCAACTCTGGAAACAGAACTTGATTTGCACAAGTGATTTGTATTAACAATGTGCACAGCCAGTTGCAGTCGATGCTGCATCGACGCGTGAAAAAGCCTTGACGTACGAGCCTGGATATCACATCATTGTCATGCTTTTTGTGCATATCTAGCTCGCGTGTGAGCGCGACTGATCTTGATCATTGATATGACGGTTCAGCACCCTACCACCGCAACAAACGGTCAACTTTTTCTAGACACCGATGCTCTTGTGGAAGGGTTTTCTTATCACCGAGCTCAATCGAATGCTTTTGCTTATACTGGCTGGTATTGAATGACCTGATTGAGCATTTGGGCGCCGTGTCCAATCTAAACACACACTTGGAGGATTTGGATGGAGGTCTGCCCAGACATCTGGGCCATAATTGCTGTGAGCTTAATGACAAAATGCTCAACCTAGCTTCCATAAGGTTTTCGTTTGGAAGGTTGTACATTATAAGAAACCTTGAGATCTTTTTGCAACATACTAAAACTAGCGTTTCGTCCGGAACAGTCTGGCAGATGCTGGTCGAATCGAAATTTTGTGGAATCGAGTCAGGTCTCAAATAGAAGCGTCCAGTGCGCCTAGCGTATTGGCCGCCATTCTTGAACGTCAATCTGTACAACAATAGAGACGTGGACCAGAAACGTGGACCCTTTCTGCCTCGAACAACAGCGATACTGGCTTCGGTTCAAGCTAGACCGGTATTCATAGAAAATTTGCCGAATGACCACACCGGCGGGGACAGGGCCTGGAAAATGAGGGTAGCAGCAGATACTTGCATTCACTTTTGCTAGTGTCACCACGCGTTGAGAGTGAGGACTACGGAGGGCTGCTCTGAAAATTTCGGCTCTTGTGGGACAATCGCAGCTCAGTAGCTCTTCTTTTGGTTGCCGTCAAGTAGGGCTCAAGATTGTTGCCGATGAAAGAGATAGCCAGCGAAGCAGGCAAAATGCTAACAGAAATGGGAGCTTCCTGCTTAGGGTGCACTCACGGACCAGAGATTGAAGTTCGTGGAGAGAGGCGCATCCCGACGGTTTCATCAGTGTTGAGTCAATTTTCGTACTGCCATGCCTATCGTTGCCAACCTTCGGGAGCACCTTCCACCTTCTTCACCTGCAATTCTAAACACATCAAAAAGCAAGATTGACTGCAAAGAGCTACGTGCAAGGCTTGCTCCAGCTTTGCTCCTTGGACTGACGAGGTTTGACGAGGTTAAGGAGTTTGTCGATCTTGAGTCTGAATAAGAGTAGCTGAAGGTGCTGCAATTGAGATACCACATTTGATCAGTCCTCATCGCGCGTGAAGTGTACAGCAGCTAATCACAATACACGGAGACTCTGGCAGCTAAAGATCAAGCGATGCAAGAGCCTTTGGCATCAGGCCAGCGTCTGCTGTCAGTGGAGCGCATTCTGCGATTGTGCTTTGTGCTTGGCAACATGCTTGAGCGAGCCAGCGGCGGTGTAGCATCCACCACTTCACTGCTCTCCCTGTTATGGAGCGCTTCCTTTTTGTTGCGCTCGACGCTGTCGCAAATTCTCGCTCACAGCAGAAGGATCGCGCCCTATCTTTTCCCTTCACTCCACTTGCGCGTATTGCATGCGTTCCAATGTGGTGCAATCTCGTTCAAGAGTGGACCCAAAATCGACGCGCAATCTAGGTTCTTCACCCCACATCGTTGGAAGTGCAGCTCTGCGTCTCTTGCTCAACAAAGGTGAGAAGATTGTAGCATTGTCAAAATCAGCTCGGCCCACGTCTGGACTACCATCCTTCTTATGCGGAAGAAGCTACACGCGTTTTCTCGCTGTGTGTATTCCTCTAGTCTGAGGATGACGGTCAACACGTGAGACGGATGAGACCTCCTGCATGCATCTGCATGTAGGATTACAAATGACCCAATTCATCGCAGACTTTCATTTGTGCTTGAGGCTCTTGCTGACGTACTGGACTTGCCCCACCATAATCAAAGCCAGGCGAGCATCACACACACAAAGCACCTGCTGTCCACCGCCGTCCTCAAGCTCCTCCGCCCCCCGGCAAGGATTGGGTCCCTTTGGACTTGCTGGCCCCATCCCTAGCGTTGCCACATCACGTTGGTACATCTGCTAAATGTCACACATATCAAGCGCAAGGCAGAATGGCTTACCAAACTGCATTCACCCGCGCAGACTTCACCTTCGCAGTTCCTCGATCGCCGGCCGACTTCCCTGGAGAGGAGCGCTTGCACTGGTCCGACTGGTCGGACCCAGCACCTCAAAAACATCGCCTCGCTGCCTTGAAGACTAAGTCTCTGGCTTCGTTGCAAAAATTATGCAAGCAATAGCCTTCTCTAGCTTTGCTGCGGCGCCTTCGTATGCTGTATTACAAGTGCCATTTTTTCAGTCTCGAATCCAAAAACAACGTACGTCTTTGCCATCAAGATAGAAGAGTCGTGCCTGGAGGGACGCTATAGAAGACGTATTTCCTCATGCGCTGACACATCTCCCTGTTCAGTTTGGCATTAAGGTGCGCCTTGCCAACCTTCTTCTTCTCGCTAGTCTGCAGCTCGGCAACTTGTGCAGTCAAGTCTGCATTGGACACTTCGAGGCGAGCAAGCTGATTTGCATGCTTGTTGAGCTTTTGGGTGAGCATGTCGAGTCTGCTGGTCAGCAAGTCAATGGTGCTCACTTGCCCCTGCAAAAGCAGGTTCACTGTTGCTAGCGCCGCTCTGCCTGCATCCTGTTGAGACGCATCGAAGTGGTGCCCGGTCAAGCCGGAACGCTGGGTAGTTCCGGTGCTTGCAAAGCTTGCGGGTTGTTGCTGTTGAGCACGGCCGCCGCCTACGTGCCAACTCAGATCTGCAGCCCTGGGGCCGCGCAGACCATTGGAGTGGATATTGGAGGAGTGTGGCACAAGTGCTCCAATGGCCAGACCTACACCCTAGCTGAGAAGCACAAGGATCTCAACACTGTTGAGCTCCTCTGGCCATCAGACGTGGATCACTGGAAGGCGCAGGTAGCAGCAGAGGCAGCCCCTAGCCAGATCTCTGCCACAGTAGAGAGTGATCTCGTCAGCTGCCTAGCAAGCAAGCTTCTGCCTCCAAATTTTGCAGTGTGCCTCACCCCAGAAAACTGCGTCTGGGCAAAGGATGCTGCTGAGTTTCATTCACGATACTTGGACAACAAAGTGGATCTGGCTTTTCCTTCTCTCGTGTTGTATTACTAGTGCCCTTTTTGGTCTTGAGAAAAGAACGTCTTTGCCATCAAGATGTGCTTTTTGAATGTGTGGTTGGGTGATCAAATCACGTGAGCGAGCGCTCTCCGCGACGCGTGCCGTGCGCTGAGACATCCATAGCAGACATCCATAGCACAGCATCTGAAACATCACCCCCCTGGTCAGCACAATCATGAATCTTGAATCAAGGCACAACTGCTGACCAGCTTAGCCAGCTGCTTCCTTCTAACATTGACACCCTGGCCAGATACTTGCTCGCTGCGTGCTGCCCCCCACACACAACCTCGTCATTGCTCAAGAACCTCACACCCTTTCCACCCGCACACCTCATCCATCCAGCATGCCTGCTACCAAGCGCAATCAGATGCGTGCCGAAGATAGAGAAGCAACAAAGAGACGGCGGATTTGTGAATGGCAATCCGCATGGTTTAGCACATCGAGAGAGGTGATGGGGACTCAAGCCTCAGGGAACTTTCCTGGAGGGCAGCAGGACAACTTTGCGGAGATTGACGCTTTGCCTCACCATCCCAAGGATGACATTGTGGACTCATGGGCTGGTTCACAAACCCAGATGGAGGCAACAAACTATGTTCAGGCTGACCGCAAGGCAGCTTGGGCTCAAGATTCCCCCTTCCGACACAGCCGGCGTCAATGGATGAGGATGAGGAAGACAGCGTCACAGAATCTGAGGGTCCTGACTATGCCGACGATGACTTCTTGGAAGACGGGCTAGCACCACCCTTACCCGCAAGCCCATTTGGCATTGACACGGACAACGTCCTTCACAGCAGGGATATGGCTTCAGCTCGCCACGCTGCCTAGAGCGAGGGAGAGAGTGAGCTCACGTGCACGTTGCTGCTTGTTTCTGTGCGCGCAAACTTGATTGGGGTGATATCGCGCCCGCGCACTCGTCGCATCTGAGCGCAGCTCCTCACCTTGTTTCGCATAGCTACCGACAAGTTGAGGAACTACCGCACCTGTGTCACTTGCACTCCCTGTAGACGCACTTTCCAACCAAAGAATCATCATGGCTGACCAACGAGAAAAGCCAGTTGAGGCGTTCAACAAGCTTGCCAAACGCCTTGCAGAGTTGAATGAGGTTGTTCCAGAAGACTGGCATACATACATCACAGACAGCGCTCAGACCTGCCGCAAGAGGTTCGTTGCCATCTCGAAACGCGCCGAGCACTTGAAGAGAAAACTGATTTTGGCAGCCGGGCGTTGAACATGTGTATCCGTGTTGGAAGAGGGACGATGCGTACCCTTTGCGTGACTCTTGTCTGGCTTGCGCTGGCTCCCACCAGCGGCAACAAGCGTTTGTGTGTCTTTTGGAGAACCAGAAAGCGCATGTGCTTCCAGGCGCGCTCGACCGGCTTCTGACTTGCGCTGGGTAGAATCAGATCGTGCCTCTTTGGGCCGACCCTAGACTTCAAGGCAGGCTTTGCGTAGATTGGCATACGTCTTGATGTGGACAGTGACTCTGTTTGCTATAGTCGTGAGTGCGGCGGTCCGTGTAGGGTCATGCACGGTCATAAGTGCCGCAGCCTGGAGCGGAGCGAGCGCGCAGATGAACGCATGACTGCAAGCTTCAACACCTTCAGCACCCCTTGCAAAGCCTTAATTGTTCCTCGTCCAGAAGCTTGGGCAGGGCTCCACCAAAGTGACCCAAGTGAGCAGAGGGCTGAGATAAGATTTGGCAGATCAGGAACTCGTGGACCTTTCTGCAGCTTGCGCTGCGCATCCACAGGAACGGACCTTGGGCTGCGTGCCTTTTGCTTTGTCGTCCTCGATGACGACGCTCGGCACGCAGACACATGGAGCGCTTCGTCTCGGCTCGAAGCCGGTTGTGCGCCCTGGATCTTTCAGAGCCCTCACGATCGAGATCGCAAGTCAACGTGTCAGTAATGGAGCGTCACCCCGAGCGCGGATGTATGCGCATAGCAAGCACGAATGTGACTATGATGTGATTTGGTGCGGGGCCTAAGTGTGGGCATACATGCTGACGAGGTGCGGGTAAAGTCGTCGGAGAAAGCTATCTGTTTTCGTATTTGATGCGTAGGCTGAGATTAGCGACATGTCGATCATGCACCAAATTTGAAGACGACAGGTGGGGCAGTGCTGGTCACCGTCGCAGGTGTTGCTGCCTTGTCATCGCTCTGTGTAGGTGCTTGCTGCGGTTTGGCCTCTCCCACCTCTGCGGGCTTGCCATTGGTGCTTGAAGCGGCCAAGAGACTGCCACTTTTCGTTGCAGGGCCGGCCGGGGCAGCAGCACCTCTATCGACATCTCGCGCGAGCGAGCTGAGCAGCTGATCGGCGCGACGTTGCCTCTCATCTGAGGTGGTGCTATGCCTCAAGGGCGTACTGCCCCTACCGCTCAGGCGACCACGCAAAGGCGTGCTTGAGCCGTGGCTGGGTGCAGCTCCAGACAGCGAGATTCGGCCTTTGGAAATGGACGCCGAGCGGTCTTGACTCTCGCGCATGGAATTGTGAAGACTGGCAGACGAGCCAGATCGCGACAAGGAAGAAGCGCGTGAGAACTCTCCAGATCGTCGAGGTTGTTCTTGAGGCGGACGGAAAAGCGAGTGACCGCTAGACTGCTGAGAGTAGATGGCGGCCAATTTTTTCGGGGTCCGCATCTTGCGCTCCTCATCAGCTCGCCTTTCTTTCGCCGAGCGTTCTTGCTCCTCTCTTCGTGCTTCTTCGCGCGCTTCTTCCCTCTCGGCCTCTTGCCAGGAGAGCTTGTTCTGAGCAGCAAGCTCGTTGTACTCTTTCTCTGTGACAAAACGCTCTACGTGCACGGGCACCTTCAGCAACGCATCGGGATGTTTGGATCCTTTTGGCTGCAGCGTCACAGCCGACGGCAGAGTGTCAGCGCCATCATCGACCCCCAGCCAAGGGCTCGAAATGCTCACCATGCTGTGCTTCGAACGCATTTCCACTACCACGGCTGCTCTACGACGTGTGGCGTCGTCGCCGATCCTCCACCTCAAACCATTTTCGTCCGTCCACTCCTCCCCGATCGCATGGTCATCTGACATGTCCGGACTGCGTTTGCGCGCAGCTTTCGGACTAGCTTTGATGGGAGAGTAGGTCGCGGGTGCACCTGCAGATGCTCTCTGCGCTGCAGACTTGCGGGCCAGCTTGCGTACGGCTTGCGCTCCAGCAGATGGTACTGCAACGGTCGAAGAAGCGGCTCGAGATCCTCGATTCTTTGATGATGCTGCTTTCCTCGACCTCGAGCGCGACTGAGCGTCGGACAGACTGCGGCGCTGTCCATCTGTTGACTCTTCGTCATGGTCGCGCATGTAAGCGTCGTCGCCAGACGCGACGCGCTGTTGATCAGAGCCGGTTGCAAACATGTCGTCGTCAAGGTCGTCGTCGCGATCCTGCTCTGCGGCCGGCTCCTCCACCGATAGCATCTCCTCATCGCTGTCATTTTCGCTGCCGCTGTCAGCCTCTTCGTAGTCTGCATCGTGGATGTCGATATCATCATTTTCGGGGATGAGACCTTGACCGCGCCTCTTTTTGCGGCTACTCTTGCCGAGCTCGTCTCTGGCAAATCCATCTTCCTCGTCGCTCTCATCCTCGTCAGATGAGTCTTCAGCCGACCTCTTGCGCGTCACGATAGCTGCTTGGCCCACGCGCGGTACAGCTTGAAGGACGCGCGACAGGGCGTCGCCCGTACCGCGCACTTGTGACATTTCGACATTTGCATCATCCACCGCCATGTCGCCATCGATGTCTGCATCTCCGTCGAGGAGAGTCTTGCGGGGAAGCTTTGATGCGCGACGAAGATGAGCGGAGACGTCGCCGGACTCGTCGGCTTCCTCGTCCTCCTCATCTTCTTGAGCTGCACGCTTGCGATTGGCAGCGCGGTGCGCGGGAGCGTACCTGCGAGGATCACCTTGCGGGTAGTCCCTGGCGGCAGGTGCTCGAGTCACATCGACGTCAGGCATGATCTGACGGGAGGAAGAGGGAGAACGCGAAGTGTAGGGAGGCGGTGGATGAGGCTGCAGTCCTGCATGATGGCCTGGACGACGCTGACGATGCTCGAGAATCTGCGGATGGCGATGCGCTGACTCGACAGCGGTGGCAGCAGGAGGTTTGGAGTGCGAGCGGGATTGTTGTTGTTGTTGTTGTTGTCGTTGCTGCTGCTGCTGTAGGTGTGCAGACGGATGCGACCTCCTCCTTGCAATAGCATCTGCTGCGGCAATGTGAAATTCGCGCTTGTCAGTGTCGGGTATACCGGCAGCCCTACGTCGTTGCCTGGTGGGATGGGGACAGAGGGAGAAAGAAGGGGTGAGATGGGGCGGCGTGGGTGGATGACCAGCGCGGGGAACCGAACCGAACCGCTCCCACTCACCTGTGATACTCCAACTGTCTGGCTCTCTGCTGCAGATGAGCGTAAGCTGCGTAGAGCCAGTAGACGACAATAACGGCAACAAAGGCGTTGAGGTAGCTGGACAAGCTGGACATTTTGTGCCGGCTCCCCCCTCTGCTGCTGCTGCCGCCGCCGCCGCCGCTGCTGCCGCCAATGTTTCGAAGAGGGGAAGCAGCGTCAAGCTGAAGCCCAGCCGAGGCTGATGATCGCAAGGGCAGCTTGCATGGAGTGGCGATCTGAGAGCAGCAGTGACGAGAGCACTTGCAGACTCGTGAGTGTGCAGCCCGCGCACGGTGGTGATGGGGAGAGGGGCAAGCAAAGAGCCACTCTGACCGAGGGTGTGCGCGTGTGAGTGCGCGTGAGTGTGCGTGACGTGAGTGTGTGAATTTGCGTTGGTGCATGGACGTCATGCTTGCTGATATCGCCGCGCAGTCGTGAGTCACGTGCGAGCGCAACACTCCACTCCGGACTCAAGACTCGACTCGTGACTCACACAACAACAGACTCATCAAACTCACGACTCCAAACTGTTTGCGACCGCGCTGCTGCCTTTCAACGCTCCGCACGCACGTCATTCGCTCTTGACTCGTTCATGGCACGAGTCATGGAATATGGAGTCACAAGTTGCGACGATTTACGATCGAGTCACGAGTCACGAGTCACGCCTACTCTTGATTCAAGCGCGAGTCTTTTCTTGGAGTCAATTTTGAGTCTGAGTGCGTGGACCATCCATCAGCGTTCTATTCGTGATTTCAATTGTGATTCGATTGACTTCAAGATTCGCGCGTGCGTTTCAGTCGCACTCGCGACTCGCGCTCAAACGCCAAAGAGCAAGCAAGCGTGCGCGTTCACTCAAACACTCAGACTCAGACTCGACCACGACTCACACATCAGCCACGCAGAGAGCGGTGTCAAGGGGTTTGAAAGCGCGCAGCACGAACATCGAGCCGAGGCGAGCCAAGCCAAGCCAAGCAAGCAAGTCAGTCAGTCAGGCAGGCATCGCAGTCAAGTCACACGGAGTAGTGAGGAGTAGTGGAATTGCCACCGCATCGCAAGCACCATGCTGCCGCTGCCGCTGCCGCTGCCGCTGCCTCCGCTCACGATCATATACGACAGTCATCAAGAGCAGTCGATTGAATGATTCGCGTCGCGCCGCGCGATTTGCAGGGCGGACATGGCAAGGCAGGCAAGCACGAAGGCAGACATGCCATCCAACGAGCATGCTATGCTGTCAGCCGATCAAGAAGCGCTCGCAGCCGCAGCCGCAGCCGCAGCCGCCACCACGCAAATCCTCTCGCAAGAATTGATGAGCGGCTATGAGCCTTTAGAGCAGCAGCAGCAGCAGCAGCAGCAGCAGCACGCGCGCACACACACCTTGGGTGCCATGGATCACGTCGCTCTTCATTGGCTTCCCATCTCCGTCTTGTTGGTGTACAAGCACCCGCCCCAACACCAACACCAACACCAACACCAACACGGCTCATCGCTCGCATCCCCACCACCGCCACCACCACCACCACCGCCACCGCGTCTGCCCCTCGACTTCCAAACCCTCCGCACTGCGCTCGCCAAGCTGGTCCATCACTACCCGCATATCGGTGGCAGATTGCACATGACAAGTGACAGGGCGCCCTGCATTGCCGATCTCGACGCTGGCGTGGAGCTGAGGCAGGCGAGCTGCACCTTTTCGCTTTACGGCCATGCTCACGCTCATGCTCACACCGAAGGACAAACGCAAGCCCAAGCGCAAGCCCAAGCCCAAGCCCAAGCGCGTCCGCGCTCCGTTCACGACCTGCCGCAATCAGGCGCGCCTTTTGTGCGACCAGCAGCAGCAGCAGCAGCAGCACAAAGCGACAGCCTGGAAAGCCATGCCGCAGCAGCGGCAGCGGAGCCGCTGTTCTCTGTGCAGCACACCCGATTGGCTTGCGGCAGCGTCATCCTCGGCATTCAAGCTCGTCACATTCTCTGCGATGCGCGCGGCTTTTTCCATTTGGTGCGCAACCTCGCTCATCTTTACAGGCGATTGCGCACCTCCAAGCCAGCCGCGCATCACCTCGTTCACCTCGATGCAGCACAACTGCTCCACTGCCAGTCATACTCCCACGTCCCGCCATCGCCGCCTCTTGACTTTGAGCCGAGCATGTACAGCTTGAGCCAAACGAGAGAGGCAGACGCAGGCGCAGGCGCAGGCGCGGTGCCACATTCAGAAGAAGCTCCCACACCCCGCGTGATTGGCCGAGTGCTGCGCGTCTCGGCGGTCCAGATGGCGCGGAACAAGCTGCAAGCGCAAGCACAAGCATCATCAGCACCCGATGGATCGTGGGTCACAACCTTTGAAGCGCTCTCGGCTCATCTCTGGCAGCGCATCTACGCCGCTCGCCTTGCTGCTGCGAGTGATCAAGGAGCTGCTGCAACTCCAGTGTCCACCGCCTACATGTCGCCCGCAGATTGGAGCGGGCAAGCGAGGCTCAACCTTTCTCCCAACTACTTTCCCAACTGCATCTTCAACACCACCTTTCACGCCCCGCCAGAACTCTTGCAGCAGACGAACAGCATCGCCCCGCTGGCTCGCTACATACACGTCGAATCGCGCAAGCTGACCGTCGAAGGGGCACGCAACACGCTTTCTTGGATGCAGCGTCAGCCAGACAAATCCCTCATCGAGATGAAGCCGCCGTTCGAAAGGGGAATGTTTGTCATCACTGCTTGGCACAAACTCGCTTGTTATCGAGATGTGCACTTTGATGAGCTTCCGTTGCCCGCAAAGGAGGAGTATGTGGTCGAGCAAGGCTTTCATCATCATCATCATCATCATCATCATCATCATCATCATCATCATCATCATCATCATCATCATCATCATCATCATCATCATCATCATCATCATCATCATCATCATCATTACCTCGTTGCGCCTCCCATCACGCCCACCTCTCTCGTCGATGGGTTGATATATGCGCTACCTGCGCCGCCGCCCCATCAGGACTCTGCGGTGCACCTCTGCATCGCTTTGAGCCAGCCCGTCTGGCATCATCTCGATCGGGACGCTGTGTTCCTTGCGCTTGCGGACGCGTGCGCGTAGATTCGAGCGTCGACGCAGCACAATGTCTCTACATCTCGAAGCGAGCGAGGCGCTCATCGTGCTTCCCGACGACTTTTTTGCAATGTGATGTGGCTGCGAGTGCGAAATGCAGATTCGCCCATCCTTGACGCAGTGCGCGCTTGCTCACACTAGTCTTTCACAGAATGTGCATAATCGAGTTTTGTTGATGCGTTCGCTGCATCGCGCAAAAGCTCTTCGATCGTCAAGGGCACGTCGGATTTGACTCGATTCGATTCATCCTCGAGGCGCGCTGGTGGGGGAACAAAATGAAAGAAAAAAGAGCGGGGCCAGCGGGGCCAGCGGGCCCAGCGCGTTGGCAGTGGGGTATTCGAAATGGGCGGCTTGATGGGCTGCCCCCTCAGTGCTGGTCGAAGAATGCGTCCACCACTGCGAGCACAGACTGCAGTATCCTATCCGGACCGGGCGGGGCTGCATCCAGCAACTCTCTGAACATGTCCGGCAAAGCCTGTAGGAGATTCTTTGAAGCGCTTCCTCGCACTGTCGAGGCGGGTCTGTTTGAGCATTTCGCGAGACGCAGACGCAGACGAGCAAAAGTCTGAAGACTTGCCCACACTCACCACCAAAAGGCAAGACTGGGTCCAGCGACACTACAGCTGACGCTACTCCGTGTCGAGAATGTTCGATTCGGAAATGGAGGATGAGTTGGCCGTCTCTGCGTGGGCGAGTGCAGACGGCTTTGATCAGGTGATTGCGGGGCTCATGCATGTGGGGAGGGGGCACTCTCACTTTGCGCCAGTAAAGATCAACCTCTCTTCCTCCCTCCTGCCACTCCGCTTGACCAGCTCAGGTCTCGCATTGGAGAGAGAATCGAACAAGGCACTTCGCGCATCCACCAAGCCCACCCTTGTCCTGAGAGCGATCAAGAGGGCTACGACGTTGCCGCTGCTCTCCCATATCCGCAAGACGTCGTCGCCCAGACTGGCTCTGATGGATCTGTCGAGCGTCAAGATGGACATTTTCGTCACCTGCGGCCGCCGGCTTTGAGCGTCTGCGATGTCCAAGCGCAGTTTGAGCCCGCGGCTGGACCGACTGGGCGACGACGACTTTGTGCGCGCCAAGGGCAAACGATACTCTATATCCAGAGAACGCTGCTTGGGACTAATGTCTGCAGTCTGCACGCTGATCAGTGCGATGCGAGCAAAGTCGCTTTGCGCTTTGAGCTGTTTGGGCCAAAGAGGACGGGGAGGCACAAAAGCGCGCGCGCTTGAGCCCAGCGATCGACGCTCGTCTCGTACCCCCCAGACACTGGCCTGCTCACCGCTTCTTTGGTCTTTTCCAATCTCGTTTGGACATCATCGCCTGCATCGCTTAGCGGCACACCTCCGGCTTGGACAGGCGGACCGAGAATGCTGTACGATGCGCTGCTGCTCGCCAGCCCTATCGCATGCGCGTGCGGTTTGGCAGAGGGACCCAAGAGGCTCAGAAGCGCGAGAGGCGAGCTGGTCAAGATGGACGTGCTGGGGCGGCAGCAAGGAGATGGGGGCGATGTGTGCGGGTGAGCCATGGCAAGGCGTGCAATTCACGCCCTCCCTCGCCAACGAGACTCACATTGCAGCGTCGTCCGCTTGTGCCAACAGCTGTTCGATGTCGACGTCGGCTTGATGAGCGGAGAGTCGCTCGGCTGACTGGCTAAACGCTTCCTCTGCATCCTTTACCGCCGATCCCTCCTCCCCCAGCGCCACCACCTCATCATACCTCGCCCTCTTCCACCTCCTTCTCCTGCTGCTCCTCTCCCTCTGCACGTCTGATCGCAATCTCGACACTTCCGATTCCAATTGCGTCACCTGCCTCTCCAGCATCGCTCTCTCTGCTCTCTCTTTTGCCTCTCTCTGCGACTGCGATTGCGATTGCGATTGCGTTGCGCCAGGTGCGGTGGAGGTGGAGGTGGATCCTTGAACGCGCGGCGCTCGACGAGCAGCGGAGCTCGCAGATGCTCGACCAGCAGCCGCAGCACCGAGCGTAGCGTCGTCGGTATCATCATCGCGCGCCGCCGCCGCCGCCGCCCCGCCGCCCGCAGCGCGAGTGGGTGTGGATGCTGCTGCTGCTCGAGGAGAAGTGGCGGAGAGGGGATGAGATTTGCGCGGAGAGGTTCGTGTGCGCACCGGTGAGCCTGATGGGCCGGGTCCCGAGGGCTGGGATGAGGAGGAAGGGTGCGAGGACGACATGGAATGCGCGGCAGCGGCAGCCGTGGCGGTGGCGGTGGCGGTGGCGGTAGCGGTAGCGGTAGCGGTAACGTGTTTTGTCAGCGCTCGCTGTTTGTCACGATTGCATCCAATGAGGGGCGCTCAGGAAGAGAGCGGGGCAGCGGGGGCTCGAGGTGTGGTTGAAGTGTGCCGAGACGAGCGTTGAGGCAAAGCATCATATGGTGGTGGTGTTGATGTGATGCGTGATCGCCGCGCGACGTGACGTGACGTGACGCGTCCGGAACGCGTCGCGCGTGCGTGCATCAATCAGCAGGCGTTTCCCGCCGCCATCCAGCATCCATCCATCTGCATGTGTGTGCTCGGGACTTGGGCCCGTTCGATTAATCGTGAATGTGAATCTTGAATGTGACTAGATGCTTGCTTTGAGGGCACGCGGTGCGAGTCCCTTCGATGCAGCCAGCCAGCCAGCCAGCCAGCCAGTATCCGCGCCCGCGCCCGCGCCCGCGCGCTCTCAACGTCTGCAACTTCGGATCCGTCATCATTGAGTAGGAGGAGGAGGAGAGTCACGGATACTTCAGAGAAATACGAATGCGCGCAGCTAGGCGATCGATCTCACGCGCGGGTCAAACATGGAGTCACCAGTCCCGAATCGTGATGGACGCGCATGCAGCAACAGCAGGCAGGCAGGCACAGGTGGAGACGAGAGACTCGATCGAGCCACGAGCGTAGTCGTGTGACTTGAGCTGTGACTTGATTTTGATTGTGAGTCTGTGCGGCCTCGTCAACAAACAAAACAACAAGGCACATGATTCAAAGGAGTTTTGCGTCTGGTGTCGAGCTGTCGAGTCTTTGCTGCAGATCACGTGATCATCCCGTACCATTTCCCGCGGGACTTTGGTCCAAGAACACGTCACGTGATAGGGAAATTCCCGCGGATATTACGCAATTGGTCTCGAGTGGAGGAGTAGAGTCGTGAGTAGTCTGATGAGTCGAAGCTGGTGAAAGGATCGAGTCGTGAGTGTGACGGATGGAATCAATGTCCTAGCTGCGGCGATCAAGGGCCGCGCGATGGATTCAGTCGTGAGTCCATGAATCATGCAAAGCTCAGCCAAGGGGCGGTGCGAATCAAGAATGCTAAGTCATTCATGCTGAAGTCAGGCTCATCGTGTATGCTATGCTGTGCTGCTTGATTGCTCGCTGCTCGCTGCTCGCGGAGGGTGGATGGAAGGATGGGCACAACCGCGTGCGTGCCTGCGCGCGCGTCTTTGGTGATCGGAGTAATCGGCGAGACGCTCGATCGAGAACTGCGATTTGGCGCAGACTGGCGGGCATGCACGCGGAGGCACGCACGCACGCACGCACGCAGGCACGCAGGCACGCACCCCCCTCCTTCCCCCGGCGTTCAATCTCTCGCAGCGGCTCCGAGGGGGACAAAGACAAACGACGTCATGTCCACTCATGCAGGGCGCGCACAGCTTTATTCGTATCATCCGCCGCTCCGCTTCTCTCTGCTCATATCAGGCACGATTCTGAGTCTGAGTCTCCGCCCGCATCGCGAGACACGCGATTGTCAGCCGTGCATGCACGCAATCAAGGCAGCCAGCCAGCCAGCCAGCCCTCCTTGGCCTTGGCCTTGGCCTTTTGCCTTTGCCTTTTGCTTGGACGCCGCACGTACGTCGCACGTCAGCGCATGATGCTGCATTGCACCGGACCGTTTCAAGACGTGTCATGCCCGTGCGTGCGTGCGTGCGGCCTGTCGAGTGTTAGTGTGAGGGTGAGCGTGAGTGCGAGGATGAGGGTGAGGGTGAGGGTAAGGGCGAGGCTGACGCTGACGCTGACTGACTGACTGCTGCACACACGCAGCTCGATGTGCAAGATCCGCGGGAATGTCAAAGGTGCCCTTGCAAGCCAGCCAGCGCAAGGCGGTGCTCTCCCTCGGACTCCTCACACGCTTGTGAACGCGACATTCACCACGCACTGACACTCCTACCCTTCACACGACGCTTGGCTGCCGTGTCGCGATCGAGCTGCTTGCCTGCAGTCTCTCTTCACCACCCACCCTCACACCCCCCAAAAGCTACTTAAACGGGACCCTATTCGACATCCTCCTGCAAACCCTCCTCCTTGCATTCATCGCTCACGACGCTTTCTGACCAACCACATACCCACACCCACACCCACACCCACACCACTCTGGGATTCACACCGCAAACATGTCCTTTGACGCGTGCACACAAGTCTCGCCCGACTGTCCCGTATCCGCATCGACCAACGGCTATGCGCCAAACTTTGGCGGCAACCTCTTCTTCGCCATCGTCTTTGGTCTCTGCCTCATCCTGCAATTCATCCTCGGCATCAAGTACCGCACCTGGACATGGTGGGCCGCCATGGTCAGCGGATTGGTGTTGGAGTTGGCTGGCTACATTGGCAGATTGTTGCAGCACAACAACGTTTGGGATGCCAACGCCTTCAAATTGCAGCTCGTCACCCTCATCCTCGGCCCTTCCTTCTTGTCCGGCAGCATCGACTTGACGCTCAAGCACATCGTCATCGTCTTTGGCAAGCAGTACAGCCACATCAAACCCGCACTCTACACTTGGCTCTTTGTCGGTCTAGACTTTTTCAGCATCATGATCCAAGCTGCAGGCGGTGGCTTGGCATCCGGCGCCACGTCCGACGGCAAGAACGACGTGCAGCAGCTCAATACGGGCAACCACATGATCCTTGCGGGTATCGCCATTCAAGTCCTTCAATTGGTCCTCTTTGGCATCGTCACTGCAGACTACGTTCGTCGCCTCTGGCAAGCCAAGAAGCGAGGAGGCGAGACGCTGAGCAAGGAAGCCCAAGCGTATCTTGCCGATTGGAAGTTTAGAGGATTCTGCGCTGCCATCATCATTGGATACTTTGGCATCCTCATCCGCTGCATCTACAGGTGAGAAGAAGGGCGCGCGGGGGGGGTGGTGCAGACGACCGCATCGCGGGCTTGCCATTGTTACTTACCATGCGCGCGGGGCACTCCTCGCAGATTGCCTGAAATGGCCGACGGTTGGGGCAACGGCTTGCAGAGGAATGAGCCCTCCTTTCTCGTTCTGGATGGCGGGTGAGTCTGGACGGCGCCGTGTGGATGAGGGGTGGCACGCGTTCGCATTCTGCTTGCCCGCTGACCGCCCGCTGACCCCTTCATTCCTAATCGCCTGCTCTGCGCCCCCCCTCGCTCGCTCGCTCGCTCGCCATACAGCATGGTCGCCATGGCATCCATCGTGCTCACCGCATTCCACCCTGGATACTCGTTCATTCAGCTATCCAACGTGAGTCTTGGCGCGTTCAAGTCAGCGATCCGACCCGAACGCAACTGACCTCATACGCTCGCTCGCTGGCTCGCTCGCTCGCAACGCCCCAGGGCTACCGCAAAAGGGCTGCTCGGGAGGCGCACGAGGATCGCGAAAAGGTGGCAGGTGCGCCCGACACGCTCGCTTCATCCAGCCGCTCCACCAGCTGGAATCCATAGGCTGGCTGGCCCCCCTTTTGGGGGCATGCAAACATCGTCCCCGCTCGCATTCGTCTCCTCTCATTTGTACATAGCATACACGCACGCGCACGCACGCATAGACAATAATTTGTACATGGCAATATTCTCGCGCACGCACGCATAGACAATAATTTGTACATGGCAATAATATTCTCGGGCTCCTCTTTTCGATATATCACAGCGCGCATGCACGCACGTATAGACGATTTGCCAGATTGCATCCATAGCATCATCGACCGGGATTACCATGCTGTATGCGTGATTCCACCTTGATCGATATCTGTCGCGCACGCGCGCATCACCAAGGAACGACGCTGCCGTCGTAGTGGTAAAAGGTGGCGCTCTTTTCCAAGGTGAGGGACCGAATGACGTTGAGCATGCCGCCCACGCTCTGCTCTACGGGCATGGCCTTATCGTTGACAATCTTGTTGCCCATATCCGTGCTCACCCAACCGGGAGAGAGGGGATTGACGATGAAGCCTTGGGGTTTGAGTTCGCGCGCAAGCTGGATGGCGCACATGTTGATGGCCGCTTTGGTCACCGACTGGCGTGCGCGCGTGCGGGATGAGCGGAGGGAGTCACGTGAATGTCTGCGCCCTAACCCTCCCAACTCGACTCAAACTCATGACTCCCACTTTTGACTTTTGACTCACATAAGGACCTGCGCTTCCATGCTTCTGCTGCGATTTGGCTTGCATATCCATACTACCGCTGCGAGAGCTGATGAGGATGATTTTTTTTTGCTTGCCCTTTCGCAGCGCATCTAGAAAGGCGAGGATGATGCGATGAGGACCTACGACGTTGTTCTGGAGGTACTGCGAGAGCAGCGATGGGTTCGTGTCCATCAGATCCAAATCTTCCCCGCCGATGGCCGCATTGACGATCAGAACGTCCTGCGATGTGAGATACGCGCGCGGGGGCGTGGGCGTGGGCGTGGACGTGGGCGTGGGCGTCAGCGCAGACGAGCCGGGCGCACAACTCCCGGAACGCAAGGCAAGGCAAGGCAAGGCAAGGCAAGGCAACGCAACAACGCACAAGCTCATCCACTTGCCTGGCCGCCTCGTCCACCTGGCTCTGCTCGTTGGTGTCCAACTGCAACCACTTTACCCTTCTCAGCTCAGCCTCTTGCGACGACGACCCGTTCGTCAAGCTGGCCGGCGCCTTTTCGAGGTTGCGCACAGTGCCATACACCACCACGTCATCATCCTCCTCCTGCTGCTGCCGCGCCAATTGTCGAATGAATTCCAGGCCGATGCCCCGAGAGGCTCCTGCTACCAGGTACGATGTCGGCATGATTTCGCGGAGAGAGAGAGGGGGGGCGCGCTCGCTGGCTGGCTTTTTTGTTTACGCGCCCGTGGGAATGAAAAAAGGGTTTTTTTTGCTGGGTTCGAAGTGGGGATCTCGAGTTGACTGTGCCGTGCGTTCGCGTTCCGCATGGTGATCGCTGTGATCAGAACTCACGATTGGTCAAACCCCCCAATTTAAAGGAAAGCAATGAAGCGTTCGGCATTCGCTGCTTTCAGGTGGGCTCGAGCGCAATCGCAATCGCAATCGCAATCGCAATCGCAATCGCAACACAAACTCGACGCATCGCAACGACATCGCATCGCATCGCATCGCAGCGGTAACATGCATGTGCATCGTCTCGTCAATCACGGACATGAATGTGGAGTCGCGGGAATCATCGTGGAAGATGCAGATGGTCAATACGCACGCACTTACGGCCGTTGATTGCAGGTCACGCACGCAGTTCGAGGCGCGGGCGCCCCCACGACGCGGGCAGGGGTCACGTGACTGGCAAGACCCGACTCAAACCAGCAAGTCACGTGATCAAGGCATGAGGAAACACTCTTGACTCATGACTCGTCGCTCAACTCAAGGACTGTGCCCGCACGCACATGTGATGGATGGCCTTTGACTGCACGTTCCGTGGCGTGACTACTCACTGCTTCGTCGTCTTGCATATATGATGGACATTTCGATCCGACTCGACTCCACTCCACTCGACTCGACGACTTTTATCAATGACCCACGCGCGGGGAGATGCTTTCCGAAGCAAGAGCCGTGAACGTCGGGGGATCGTGATGGAGCAAGCACAAGCTGGGGGGCCCAAGATGTGAGCGGAAGTGGGGGGGGCCACGAGCCGAGTGAAGCGCCTCGAGGAAGCAAGAGATGCAAGCAAATCACGAATACACAAATACGAAAGGGGCTGCAAGGAGGGCGAGCGAGCGGGCGGCGACGATGGATGAGTGCCCGCACTCGGTCTTCATCCACGCATACCGACCACGGGCAGGCGGAGCGGTTCTTTACGAGTCTCGCAATCGAAGGCGCATTTCACTGCAGATCACACAGCGGCGATGGAGCGCGACGCTTGGCCGGGCAAAGCAGGAGACTTGACGAGTGCTGCTGCGGATGGAGGGGTTGAGCAGCGAGCTCAGGCAGCTATAGTTCGCACGCCACGCTTCGCTTGGACCGACTAGCGCCTGCGCCTGCGCATGCGCCAGCGCCAACAACCGACAATCGTGAATCACCAATCGCCGATGACCGATCATGCCCTGATTGCGGCTTGCGGGACGCCAGCCTCGCTGCTATCATGGATGGGCTGAGCCGTCAGGCTAGCGATTCGCTGCTGTACTGCTGCACGGGCTGGACATTTGGGCCCGTTCGCGTCGTGCACGCGATCGGCGTACCGGCGCGTACATCAGTCCGCCGGACATTTGTTCCTCCATGCGAGTCAGAGTGTCCATCCAATTCGAGCACGATGGGCGTGCCGTGCCGACGCTGCTTCTCGCTCCGGGCCTCGGATCTCACCATTCGTGATCATCGCTTGCGACATGCGAAACACACCGACTCCAATCGTAATGGCAGCCGCAGGGTAGCGGGCTGCATGAAGCTGGATCGGCATGGACCATGCATCGGGGCGCCCATTCTCCTTCCATGCCTTCAGCTCCGGTTGTTGGGCGGGCCTCTTGGCACAGCGCTAGCCGTTGCGGCGTAAAGCAGTAGCGGGTAGCAGCAGTGGCAGCAGCAGCAGCGGCGGTAGTAGCAGCGGTAGCAACAGCAGTGGCAGCCAAGCATGGGTTCGGATTGCTCCATCGAGCATATCCGCACGACTGATTGTGCGCTCGCTCACACTGAACTCGGTCGCGCGTCACAAGTCGGCTGCTGCTGCTGCTGCTGCTGACGAGGATGACATGTACAGTCACGAGTCAGCAGCAGCAGCAGCAGCCAAATCTGCTTGCTATAAGAAGCCCCGAAATTTGCCCTTCAATCACAACCTTTTCGCTCCTCAGGAACTGGATTTCCCCACCGAAGGCCCCACTCTGCACGGTTGCTCTACAAACACTCCTCTCCAAACACTCCTATCACTTCTTTCACACACCTATCCACTGGTAAGTCGATAGCTGCAAGCCAGTGACGTACCGCTCGGCAAGCAAGGCCGCGTCGTCGTCGTCGTCGTCGTCGTCGATTGCTGACCAGCATCGCTGCTCCTCTGCAACCCCGCCCCAGGTTGGAAATTTTCATCCCCCCCCCACCGATCGCACCATCACACCTCCCACCTCGACTCGCCTCGTTTTCCTCAACATGAAGCTCACTGCTACTTCCGCCCTCCTAGCCGCGCTGTTCGCGGTGATGGCCGTTCCATCCTTGGCCCTTCCCATACCTGCGGCACCTTCGTTTGAATCACAACTGGAGGGCTTTGGCCGCCCAGGGTGCGACAATATACTCTGCGACGATTGGGCTAGACGGCCAAAACACTCGCGTGCAGATCGCCCGATGGTACCCGCCGCTGTGAAGGCCAGGGAAATGCGCCCAGAAAACTTCGCTCCACCCCCCGATTATGCCCTCACGAGTCACTACAGAGTGCAAGTGTCAGGACCGGGACAGGGAGACCGAGACCGGGAAACTACCGAATCTGGGGCGACTCACGTCCAAGTGACCAAGGAGGAGGCGGAGCGGCGCCAGCGAGAAGGAGCGAAAAGCGCGACGGCACCTGCCCCGCACGCTCGCTCGGGCGATTGGGAACATGGTAAAGGTAAAAGGCCCGGAAAAGGGAGTGCCGAGGAATTGGCGGCCCATTATGTTGGAGGCCCTTCGCAGATGTTCAACCGCGTCGACGTGATGAGGGCCAGGGCGGACCTGCTAGGTAAAGATGCACCTCCAAAAAAGACTTATGAGGACGTGATGAGAGAAGGTCCGACAAAGCCTCCATCATCAAAGGACACAACGACACCTCAGTGGGAGCTACCATTGCCTGGCGCATACCGCCATGACTACGGTTTCCCCTCTTTAGACCGTCCTAAGCCGGTCGAATTCACACAAAATCGTAGAGGCTCTCTGCCTGTACCGGAACACGTCTACTGGCAGGCTCGGGCGGACCTGCTTGCCCTAGACGCCGAGTCAAGAAAGGCCATCGAGGGCGCCGAGGAGAGAGTAGCGAAACGCTCAAAGTCGGAAAAGCCCACAGCCAGCCCCGCAGACGACCCCTACTTTCTTATACCTCAGCTGCATCGGCCTAAGCCTGGCGCATACCACCTGGACCAGCTCAATCCCTCTCCAAACCGTCCTAAGCCGTTCGAAATCAGACAAAATCGTAGAGGCTCTCTGCCTGTACCGAAAGACGTCTACTGGCAGGCTCGGGCGGACCTGCTAGGTAGAGATGCACCTCCAAAAAAAACTTATGAGGACTGGTTGAAAGAGAATGCGACAAAGCCTCTATCACCAAAGCCAACGACACTGTCCACGAAGGTTCCGAAGTTATCTGAACAGTACGGACCGTCCTGGCAGAAGAATCTCCCCGCAGGACCTCGGGTCCGGGACATGGCAGGCCTGAAAGAGCAAATCGAGCGCGCGAAGGGTATTGCCCGACTCGAGTCCGGCCCCGAAAGCGGGTAATTCGTCCCACCTGGCCCACCTAGAATGAATCGTAGAGACTCTCTGTCTGTACCGAAAGACGTCTACTGGCAGGCTCGGGCAGACCTGCCTGCCCTAGACGCCGAGTCAGGAATGGGCCTCTAGCGCCCAAAGGAAGAAGAAGCCAAACGGCTCATTTTGGAATCGGTCTTCCACCAATTCGGCGGCGATGATAGAAAACGACGTGACACATACAACTATCCACCCTCCCGACAAGGCGCGATTTGATGTCTTGTAGTCGAGCGAGCAGCAACGAAATTTGATGAGCGCTTTCGGTTCAACATACTGCTGCTGTTTGTTTGTAGCGAACATAGACCCAGCGTCTTTCTGTCGAGTCAATAGCATGGTGTGCTTCTTACGTGCAGGCTCATCGTGACTTGACTCTTTCATTCTTGATTATGCTCAGAGACTCGAAACTCGAGACGCGGACTGCCAGTCACGTGACTCGCGTTTAGGCTATGCGCACGGCTCATCCGGGCTTGTGTGAGCGGAAGCAGCAGAGCAGCAGACGCGCACGCACACGCACACGCACACGCACCCCGCATGCACTCGATGCTCACGATGACTGCTTCGAGCGCTCGCTTGCTCGCTCTCTCGCTCGCTTGCACACCATCATCACTCGCCATCGGACGCCCGTGAGCGCTCATCAGCCCTCCTCTTGATCGAAGAGCTCCAGCTCCACGCTCGAGCTCCAGCTGAAGCGCAAGCGCGCGCTGCAGTGGAGATTCGCAATGTTCGACGAGTGGGTAGCCGCTTGCTCTGCTCGCTGTGGTGCCTCGCAGACTTCCACGCACTGACCCGCACATCCCTTGCCACGCTCGCTCACTCTTCAGGTTCGTGCAAAGTTCGCGCGGAGCGGATCACGGTGCTGCATCGCCGCTCTTCCCGATCGGAGGCAGGGGACCGAGGGAGAGGGAGAGGGAGCGCGAGCGCGAACTGGATGGAGTGGAAGGCTTCGAGGATGATTTGCACGCAAGATCACCCGGCTTGGAGTTTGGTGCTGCAGCGGGGGGCAGCGTGCCAGTGACTGCTGTGAGTGCAGCGGTCACCGGACGCAGGCAGGATGAATGCTGACAGGTCTCGTCTCGCGCCCCCCCCCCCCCCCCCCCCCCGCACGCACAGCTCGAGACCGGCTTTGTATCTAGCGACTTGGATATCGGCGGGGGTGTCGGTGCGACGGGCAGCAGCAGCAGCAGTAGCGGCGCACCCATCTTTCAGCTGGGTCGCGTGCAGTACGCCTTTCCAGCGCCATTGGCGTGCCTCACCGTCTGCAACAACATCCTCACCATGTGTCTGTACGCCCACGTCCACGCACACGCCCACTCTGCCACGGGCGCTGCAAGCCTGTCCAGCTCGCCATCCGCTCCACCACCACCACCAGCAACGGCAGCAGCAGCAGCGGCAAGACCGCGATTGGTGAGGATCAACCTGGACGATCCCGAAAGAACAGAAGAGGCAGAGATCCCCTTGCCTCCTCTTCCTCGCACCCGCAGCGGCGCACAGGACCCGAGCTTGGACCAATCGCCGCACAAGATGTTCTCCGACCCTTCGGGAAGGCATCTGCTCATCAGCACACGCAGCGGCGATAACTTTTACTGGAGCAGCGGGTGGAAGCGAGCGAGGATACTGAGCAAGCTCAAGGGGATCGTGGTGGAGTGCGTCGCCTGGAACAGAGCCGCTCTGAGCGAAGGCGTGGGATCCGTCGCAGCATCAACGTTGGAGATTCTGCTGGGCACGCGCAGCGGGCAGGTGTACGAGACGGTGCTCGTCGCGCCACTCGGCGGAGATCCAGACGCTGGCGATGGTGATTTCTTCGATCGCTTGGCACGCAGAGCAGCTGGCGTGGGCGGGGCAGCGAATGCCGCGTCCGGTCTGGAGATCGACAGGGTGCTTCGCAAGCTTTGCACATTGCCGGAAGAGCAGCCGGTTACGGGTCTGGTGGCAGAGCCTCTCGTCAAGGAGGCTGGGGGCGGCGGCAGAGCCGCTGCGGAGAGGGCGGTGGTGGTGGTGACTACGAGCACGCGCATATACGAGTTTGTGGGAGCGCTGGGCAAAAAGGCGAGGTCGAGCAGGCGAAAGGATGCGGATGCCCTGAGCGACACGAGCGAGAGCCTGTATGCGCCGATATTCGAGCCGTACAGCAAGCAGGACATTGCTCCGCCATTGAGTGAGTGGCCCAGAGAGGAAGCTGCGAGGAGCGAGGTGCTCGTGCGAGGTGCTCGTGCGAGGTGCTCGTGCGAGGTGCTCGTGCGAAGTGCTCGTGCGAGGTGCTCATGCGAGATGCTCATGCTCGCGACTGGGTTGCGCCATTGCAGGATCCGAATTGCCAGGAGATTTGCCCTACTCTGAGCTTCACACGTGGGGTGCCGATATCCGCAAAGCGCCCAAGTCCTTGGCTTGGCTCACTGGTGCGTCATACTTGTGCGAGCGTGTCGATGCCTATCATTGACCCCCCCATCTTCCGCAGGGCCTGGCGTGTACTACGGCCGGCTCTTGTTCGTCGAAGATTCGAGCGACGAGAGCGTGCTGGTCAGCGCCAATCTGCTTCCTTATCCGGCCGTATCGGCTTTGGAGGAGCAGGGAGAGGATGGAGCGGTTGCGGAAATTCCGTTGAGCATCGCCCTCAGCGAGTTTCACTTTTTGCTGCTGTATCAAGATCGCATCACCGGCATCAGCGCGCTAGACGATCGAGTCGTCTTTGAAGAAGCGCTGCCCCTCAAGCCGCACGAGAGGGTGATCAGGACGACGTTTGATCCAGCGCGAAAGACGTATTGGATATACACGGACGGCAGCATCTTTGAAGTGGTGGTCAAAGACGAGGATCGGGATGTGTGGTGGATCTACCTGCAGCGCGGACAATTCGACGCGGCGCTCAAGCACGCAAAGGACGATGTGCACCGAGATGCGGTGCTGTCCAAGCAAGGCGATCGCTTCTTTGCGGAAGCGAGGTACATTCAAGCTGCTCAGTGCTACGCCAAGGCGGCTAGAAGAGGTTTCGAAGAGATCGTCTTGAAGTTTCTGGATTTGGGTCAGAACGATGCTCTGCGGTACTTTCTCGTTGCGAGGCTGGAGAGGCTGCGCAAGACGGTGAGTATGAGCGATGCGGACTTGGCGTGCGGACGCTGATGCGCGGCTGTCTACAGGAAGTCACGCAGAGGATCATGCTCGCCACATGGCTCATAGAGATCTACCTTGGCAAGATTACCTCCCTCGAAGACACTTTTACCAGCGCGCAAGCATCCCCAGAGGCTGATAATTACAAGTTGGAGCGACAAATGCTGGAAGAGGAGCTGAGGGCTTTCTTTGCAACGTACAAGGACTGCCTCGACGCCAAGACGGTGTTCGGCCTGATCGGGCGGCATGGAAGAACGGAGCTGGAGCTGGCATTTGCAGAGGTGGTGGGAGACTACGAACGCATCGTTAGGCATTGGATTGGCGAGGGCAATTGGAGCAAGGTCATCGAGACGATCAGCAGTCAAGTAAGTCGCGACGGGGAAAGCTTTGCATCGGCGCTCGGCTAACCCCTACCTGGCGCGCCGCGCGTGGAAGCCCTCTCTGGACTTGTACTATCGCTTCGCGTCGGTGTTGATGCGCAACGCATCGTCTGCGACGGTAAAGGCGTGGACGAGGCAAGATGCGTTACAGCCCAGACGCTTGATCCCCGCTCTGCTGCAATATCGTCCACGGCCGGGACAAGCAAACGAGGCGGTGCGATACCTCCAACACGTCGTCCATGAGCAGTACAGCTCGGACCCGGCGGTGCACAACCTGCTGCTCACCCTGCTTGCCAAGGGAGAGGGCAGCGCTTCTTCCGAAGCGGCAAATTCGGCTCTGCTGTCTTTCATCGACGATAGCCGATCCAATCCGATATCTGGAGCGCCGTACTTTGACCTCGACTATGCGCTGCGAACGTGCAGTGCTCAGGGCAGGCACGAAGCGTGCGTGAGGATTTATGCAAAGATGAAGCTGTACGAGAGCGCAGTGGACATGGCGCTGGATCGAGGGGACGTGGAATCGGCTTGCCTGTGCGCCGAGCTGGTCACGGGGGATGCGGAGCTGAGACGTCGACTTTGGTTAAAGGCGGCAAAGTACGTGGTGCAGAACCGGAGGGACCTGAAAGCGTGAGTGGGCGCGCAGAGAGCACCGCCGCGGCACACGGTCTGACGCGGCGCAAACGACAGTGCCATGACCTTTTTATCCCGAACAGATCTACTCTCCATCGAAGACATTTTGCCCTTTTTCCCCGACTTTGTCGTCATCGACGACTTTAAAGACGAGATTTGCGCATCCTTGGAAAGCTACGCTTCGCGCATTCAGCTGCTCAAGGAGGAGATGGAAGAGGCGAGCAGGAGCGCCGAGGCGATTCGAGCGGATACCAGAGCGCTGGACAAGCGCTTCGTCACGGTGGAGAGCGACGAAAAGTGCGCGCTTTGCGAAAAGGAAGTGTGGAATCGGCAATTCTACGTCTTTCCGTGCAAGCACGCCTTTCATGCCGATTGTCTCATTGCAGAGGTGAGCGAGCGCGAGCGCGAGCGCGTAGAAATGGTCGCTAGAGTCGTCCGTGCTGACGCTCCACGCCCCGCCACGCCACGCCGCGCCGCGCCACGCCACGCAGACGACGAGACACTTGCACCCAAAGACGTTGCGTCGAGTGTTTGATCTCCAAGAACAGCTCTCGGCGCTCACTGCTGGTCTAATACCTGCGCTACCACCATCCTACGCTTCAGCACTGGCGTCCATGAGCCGCGCAGCCGTGACGCTGCCTCTGGGCGGTCTAAATAGCCTGCGCGAGTACGTCTTGCCGGATCAAGTCATCTCTGCCATCAGCGCTGGCGTGTCGGTGGGCGTATCCTCTAGTCGAAAAGTGTTGGACCCGTTGGCTCGCAACGAAGCGTGGCGCAACTCTTCTGCTGCTGCTGCACAGCCAGAGCCGGAAAGCGCAGGCGCGGGCGCGGGCGCCACGGCGACGGCGACGGCGACGGAGGAAGAAGAGGAGAGGATAGAAAAGTTGAGGGACGAGTTGGATGGCATCTTGGCTAGCGCTTGCGCGGTGTGCGATGGAGCTGTGAGCGCCATCAGCAGACCGTTTGTGAATGTTGCAGCCAGCAATGTGGACGCCAAGGAGGCGGACGATTGGGCGCTTTAGCGGGAGGCGAATGCGGCGCGCTCGCTGTACTCCTGTGGACCTGCGCGCGCGCGCGCGCTGTCTCTCCTCTCTCTCCTCGCAGAGTCATGTCCGCGGCGCTCGCGACCGAAGCATTCAATATTCGTGATTGTCTGGATCGTCTTGTATCCCCGGCAATCAGCACGTGCAATGCAGGATCGAGTCGAGGTGAGGTGCTGCCCAGAGTAGGCTGGGCTGACTTGTCCTCACAACACGCGTGATTATTTGAACCTTTGAGCGCACGCACGTCACGCCGTGTCTGCGAGTTGCACGTGACGTGTACGCGGTTTTGCCGAGAGATGGCGCGTGAAGCGGACGCACGAGTCGAAAGTCGTGAGTCTGTGTCGTGCGCGCGTCGCATGTGTGAAGCTCTGTCACGCACCACCATACAAGCATACAAGCGACTCACCTTTCTTTGCTCTACAGCTGCAGCAAGCACGTCAAAAGGTGGCGACTTTAGTAATCATTGCGAGTTCGCTTGCACACGGGGAGAGGAGAGGGCGACCTCCTCTGCCAGCACAAACGGAGGCGCGGACGCCATGCCGATGGCGATGGCGGTGTCCTCGGCGATGTCCTCGAGGAGCGCAGCTGCCGAGTCACGATGTTTGGGCGGAGCGCGGTGCAATGTATGCGTCGCGTGGCGGTGGGGAAGAACACAGCAGCAGCAAGTAAAGCTATCAGAGCGTCGCAGCGAGCAGCGCGAGAAGCGAGTGCAAGGTCGACGATGGCTGCACAGTCGCAGTCGCAGGCACGAGCACGAGCACGAGCACGAGCACGAGCACGAGCAAGGCTGCAGCTCCTTTACCAGCTCTACTCGCGCTTTCACTTCCTCCTCCTCGTGCTCTGCCTCTTCCCCTGCAGCGCACAACGGCGATGATGCGCAACAGTCGACAACGGCCGCAACCGATTCTCCACGATCTCAGCGACTTCGAGCGCCTGCAGTGCACGCTTCCTCGCTCACTTCGCGCTGGTCCACCGCAAAGTCAGCTTCAAGCGGAATCGGTCCCATCCTCTCGCATCCCGCGCCTGCTCCGTCTGGCTCCTCCTCCTCCTCCTCCTCCCAAGGCAACGGCAACGGCAACGGCAATGAGGATCTGTCTTCATCGCTCGGCAGACACTTTTACCTCAACAAGGCGTTGGAGAGCTACGCTTCTAGACCCAGCACGCGCATCACGCTCAGACAACTCGTCTTTTTTGGAAGGAGGGTGCTCAATGAGAGCAGAGATGCGCCTGCTGTTGGCGTTGGCGTTGGAGTGGGGGCGCACGCGCACGCGCACGAGTCGATGGAGGAGAGCAAGATCATACGAGTGAGTCGTGCCGTGTTGGCGGTGCGCGGATCAAAGCTTGCTGACATATGCGCGCGCGCGCGCGCACAGTCGGCCAACTACGTGCGACAGGAACTGCCTATCCGCTTGGCTCACCGCATACGTGACCTGCAGGCGTTGCCGTTCGTGGTGATGACCAACAAGCATCTGGGCCAAGTCTACAATGTGCGTGCGCGTGCGCGTGAGCGTGCGCATTGTCGTTGCCCCTCGCCCCTCGTCCTCACTCGTGTCCCACGCACACACACCCATCGCAGAAATATTGGCACGCCTTTGAGACGTTTAGGCGATTCCCTGCTATCCGCACCATGGAGGACAATGAGGCGTTTTGCTCGACGCTCAAAGCGGCCCTGACAGATCAGTGAGCAAAGCGCGGCGCGGCGAAGTGTCGCATGGCGTCGCGTCGCGTCGCTCACGTTCAGCATCTCATCCCCTTTCGCAGCCTCACCATCATTCCTTCCCTCACGCTGGGCATCGTCGAAGAGTCGGACCATCTATCCGCACAGAGGCTGGATAGGTTCATGGAGCGCATGCTCAGAAGTCGCATCGGTGAGTGCTTACGTGCGCGTGCGCGTGCACCTGCGCGTGCGTTGATTAGCCGGCGCTCTGCTGACCATCTGGCGTGGCGCACCGTGATCAGCTCGACGCGTGCTTGCCGAGCAGCACATTGCTCTATCGGAAGCGTGAGTGCGCGGAAGGGGGAAATGTGGGTGAGGGTGCGGGAGTGGGTGCAAGCGCGGGTGCGGTCGCGGTGCGCTGTGCAGATGCTGACCACGTTTCCGCGCACGACAGCCTCGACGACCCATTCCACTTTTTCGACACTCCCTCGCAAGCATCGACACCGGCAGCGGCAGACGGCGAGCATGTTGGCATCATCTACACGTCGTTGTGCGTCTCGGACGTGGTGCGCAAGGGCATCAAGCTGCTCAGGGACATGTTTGCGAGAGAGACTGGAAGGAATGCGAGCGACGAATGGATCCCCATCGTGGCGCTGGACGGTGACTTGGAGGCCAGGTGAGTGTAGCGGTGGGGAATGACGGACGTCTGAGCCGCTCGCTCACGGGCTTGTGCGGCAGGTTCGCGTACATACCCGAACATCTCGAAGTGAGTTTAGAGCGCCTGCACAACACAACACAGCACAGCACAGCACAGCACAGCACAGCACAGCACAGCACACCCCAGTACATACAGCTCACCCGCAAGTCCCACCCCCAGTACATTATCTTTGAGCTGCTCAAGAACGCAATGTCGGCAGTCATGAAGCGTCCCATGGAGGAGCGCGATGAGATACGTGGGTGCCGCGCGCGCATACTGTAGAGTCACTCGTGACTGAAGCGCATCCCCCCCTTTTAGCCATTCGCGTAACCATTGTGGAAGGCCCGCCTGATGAAGACCTCATCGTGCGGATATCTGATTGTGCGTTTCTCGTTGTGCGCGCGCGCCTGCGTCACACCTCGCTAATGCCCCGCTCTGCTCAGGTGGCGGCGGCCTGCCTGACCTCGTCGAGTCGCTGGCATCGCACGACACTTTTCAGTCCTGGAGACCCCTCTTGCCGGGCAACGTGGCACCCAAGGCGTCGGCGCATGCACATCCCATCTTGGCAGCGGCAGCAGAAGGCAGGGAGATGCCACCGGCATCGGACGACGAGTTGCCAGCTGGTTCGCTGGACGCTACTGCTGCTGCTGCTGCTGCTGTGCCGGCTCCTGCGCCGCGACGAGCGTACCCGGAGCCTCACAAGAAAGCCGACGTGACGTCGGGCGATCGTGCGCTGATCGACGTTTTGACCAGCTTTTCAAGCGTCAGAAAGAGGCTGGAGCTGGAGCATGTGCTCAGGGATCGACGAGGAGAGCAGAGAAAGTTGGCGCCGCCTGGATTGGCTGTCAGCGAAGGTTACCGCATTACGGATACAGGTCTAGGGAGCAGACAGAGGCTCGAGGCCCTGAAAAGCACAAAGGAGTTCAAAGGTGGGTAGCGGGGGCGCGCACTCGCGAGCGCTCGCAAGCCGCGCACTCACTCACTCTGATCCGCGCACTCTGATCCCCGCACAGGCACCGTTGCGGAACAAATGGCGAATGCGAGCGGTCGCAGCGGGCTCGCTTCCGGCGCTTCCGGCGCTTCCGGCGCATCTCCAGCTGCTCTCCAGCCTGCGTGGTTGCCGCGAGGCGACGACGGCACGTCTGCCCACGTCATGCGCAAAGAGACTGGATTGGGCTTACCAATGACGAGGATATACACCGAGTTTCTGGGAGGCAGATTGACACTTCGTAGCGTCGACGGGTGAGTTTTTGCGAGCGCGTTCGGCGAGTCACAATGAGCTCATATTCGTGGTGCATTGCGTTCAGGGGCGGGCTGGACGTCTACTTGCGCCTACAGAAACTCGGAGACAAGCAGGAGCAAATCGACGACATTGAATTGTAGCGCGCGCCCGCGCGCACAAGTCTCGCATTGGACCGCAACGAATGGATGCAGTTGTTTGCGATGGAGTGCTCGTAGTGAGCGCCGTTGGATGCGTGCTCCTCGTCGCGGACTCGCAGAAGCATCTCTTTCCGTACCCCTCCTCTACCCCCTGCTGACCCACTTCAGCATCGATTTGCCCAACGACGTCCTCGTGCCGGTGAGGGAGAGCGTGCGCAGGACGCGGCTAGACATTTCGCTTTGCCCACTCGACGACGACGACGATGGCTTGAACGCGATGTTGCCGGGACGGGCGGCAATGTTGTTCGCGTCGAGACGACGACAATCTGGATGGGTGCATCGCAGCGCGTGCTTTTGAACTGAGCGTGGTGTGGTGGGCACGACTCTCGCGTCGTCGTGCAGCTCAGGGCTGATCGTGGCAGAGGCGCGACTCGATCGCCAGGGCTTCGTATCGACGTCTTTGCGGTACGACGCCGCACCGCCGTGGTGCTCGTTCCAACGCCTCAGGCTGGAGCCCGACTCGTCGTCAGAGTGGTAGGAGGTGGATGCTTGATCGAAGCGAGTAGGCGCTTCGCGAGGTAGCGAGCCGAGCTTGTTGTCCGACATGAATGCGGGCGCTTTGCCCTTGCTGCTGGCTTGTTGTCGAGGCTTTGTCTCCAGCGATGCGCGCGTCACGTCTGACATTTCGATGTCGATGGGCTGCGAAAGGGCGTCCTTGCTTCCTGCGCAGCTCACGTCCAGCGCGAGCAGCAGCGTGCCAAGAAGGAGAGAAAGGAACAGCTTCATTGTGGGCGCGCGCGCGCGATCCCCGTCGTTGCGCGCTTGGGACTCGTTTCGCGCACGAAAAAGTGAATGTTCAAGAAGAGGCTCAAAGGCACTATATTTGTTGGCACGCCAAGCTCGCACAGCTTGCTGTGAGCGAGAAAGAAAAAGAGATGGAGATTCGCGAGCGCGGCAGAAAGCAAGAGGCAACCCCCTCTCTCTAGCGCGCATTTTATACCTCTTAGCAGCGCGAGACGCAGCGCGAGCAAGACGACGACCTCTCTGGTCATCTCTCGACGACGGTCTCGACGCGGGGCAGATCAAATCAGATTTCCTGGGGGGACGGATCAGTGGCGAGCACCCGTGCGAGGACCTCACCGGTTTCATGTTGCCATTGACGCCCGCGGCGGGCCCGCGCGATCAAATGTGACTGCGTACGTGCGGCGTCGAACAAGTCGTGAGTCGCGGCGGCGAGTCGGAAGTGTCGCTCAGCGTGAAGCCAGCACACGGCCACGGCCCAGCTCAAGCATCGATCGCATCAACACATTCCATTTTTTGTGTGCGAGCGCGTGCGAGCGCGTGCGAGCGCGTGCGATGCGGACGTTTATCTATCTATGTGTGCGCGAGCCATCTATGTGTGCGCGCTATGTGCGCTTCGCCCTACTCCCTGGTAATGTCTCTGCCAAAGAGCCACACCTTGACCCAATCCGCCGCGACTTGGGTTCGATTGCGCAGACTGAAGAGCATGCTGAGGTATGCCGATCTCCAAAACAAGTACGTGGCAGTTCCCGAAGCGGAAATGGAAGCGCCGTTGGAGAGGGGCACGTCTGCTATGGCTCGCTCGCCGCCAATGTAGGCCAAGCTGCCATTGTTTGTGAATTTGAAAGGTGGCAACTTGGCAGCCCTGTCTGCCCGCTTTTGCAGCTTCTCCACCTCGTCCGATGGTCTGCCTGCACGCAGCGCCTCCGAGGCCTTCTGAGCCAGCTGATCCGCATGAGCCAGCTGCGCAAAGATCTTGGCAATGTAGGAGCCTTGCTGCGAAGCGGCTTGAGCCGTGGGAGCCCACTGAGTCGCTGTGGCGTCGCCCACGGCAAAGATGCTATCCTCGGCGCCAATCAATCTCAGCTGCTCATCCACCTTTAAACCTCTTCGCTCCGTCTGCGTCTCCTTGAGTTGAGCCTGCAAGTCGCGGCTGATCGGCCTGCTCGTATTTCCCGCGGCCCAGATGAGCATGCCGCAGGGCAAATTGACGATGCCTTCTGGGCCTTGCATCGTCACGCTCTTTTCATCCAGTCCCTTGACCATGTGCTTGGCGAGAATGTCGATCTTGTTGGATTTGAATGTGCTCTCCGTGTACTCCACCAGACCCTTGCTGAATGCGGGCAGAATCTGAGGCAGCGCTTCGACAAGCGTCACGCGAACGCGATTCGCGACGGCCTGTGGGCGTGGCGACGTGTGGGCGTGAGCGTGGGCGTGGGCGTGGCGACGTGTGGGCGTGGGCGTGGGCGTGAGCGTGGGCGTGAGCGTGGGCGTGGGTGTGAGCGTGAGCGTGAGCATCTTCAGCGGGATAGTGTAACGCGCGCGCTCGCGCAACTCACACTGGAACGACGCGCGTGGCGAGAGGTGCACTCGTCTCGTCAGCGCGGGTCCACAATTAGCGACGCAAATCCTATTCCCCCCAACCCCGCACTCACGGGTACCACTTGCTCAGATCATCCACAAAGTCGTGCATCTCCGCTGCCGCTTCCACGCCCGTAGGTCCTCCACCAACAACGCAAATGTGCAGCAACCTATCCATCTCCTCATCCGACTGGCCCACCAAGCTAGCCTTTTCGATCAGATCCATGATGCGCTGCCTGATCTTGCTGGCATCCTGCAATTCCTTGAGGAAGAATGCGTGCTCCTTGATGCCAGGAATGTTGAACGTTTGATTCTGCGAGCCGACGGCCACGACGAGATAGTCGTACTTGACAGTCGTCTCGCTGCCATTGTTTGCCCCGTAGATTTCGCTGTTGCGGTCTTCAAAGGTGACGGTCTTGTCCTTGACGTTGATCTTGGTGGCCTCTGCTTCGAGCACCTGCACTTCGCGAGTCTTGTAGCGTGTATTGTGCCTGCGCGGGGGGGGGGGGGGGGGGGGGGGGGGGGGGGGGTGGCGCTGAGCTGAGGCTCCGTGTCGCGCCCTCACCAAGACTCACCTCGTAGGCTGGGCGATGGAACGAGGCGAGACGGTGCCCACTGTGACTTGCGGCAGGAGCGGCGTGTACAGGCTGCGGGGGCGAAGGCGAGGCCGCGGAGCGCATCAGTGGGGGGCATGTATGCGCGTATGCACGCCAGCTCGCCAACTCACAAGTAGTTTTCCTTGCTAATGACGATGACATTGTACTCGAGATTGTCCTGCGCAGGCGTGGCGCGGCGCGGCACCTCTTTAGCGGCGGCCTCCACTTCGCAAACGTGCACTTAGCCACCCCCCACACACACACTCACAATCTCCTTGAGTAGGGCAGTAGCGCCCCAACCTGAGCCCAGCACGACGATGGTCTTTTTGGTGGGGTCCAGAGGCAGCTGTTGGTCCGGCGGGTGATTGCTCTCGTGCACGTAGTAAGCCAGCGTGCCCGCACCCAGCAGCAGCGTCAAGTAGGTCCATCTGCGCAGTCTCTTGAAGAAGCCAGCGCGCGGGGGCGGGGGCGGGGGCGGGGGCGATGGGGGCGGTGTGGGAGGAGAAGAGGAGGAGGAGGAAGCAGCAGAAGCAGCAGCAGCAGCAGCAGCAGGACCCGGCTGGAATCGCACCTGTTGCGCTGCCGCTTTGGCTGTAGGCGTCTCCAGCAGAGGATTCTGAGCCGCAGCCGCAGCCGCAGACGCAGACGCAGACGCAGCCGCAGCCACAGCGCTGCTGGCTCCCCAAAACGATCTCTGCGAAGAGCCCAAGGGTGGAGCGACGCGCGCCGCCTGCTTGCAGACTCGTGGGATGATTACGTCAGCAGCAGCACCAGCTCCAGCTCGGCGCGCCGAATGGGCTCGCAGAGCGCACTGATGCGTCGCCACACGCAACGTCGAGCTGGCAAACATGACGAAGTCGGTCGGGAGCGAGGAGCGAGGAGCGAGGAGGTGGTCGCGAATGAACCTCGTCGCGGTGATGCGCGCGCCTTATCTTTTAAACTTGGACGCGCGCGCGCGCGAGAAGAATGTCAAATCATCCAGGGTTCGCGGTGCGTGCTGCATGCGCGCGCGCGCCCCCCAACACTCACGAATCGTGGACGCAAACTCGCGCGCGCGACTCGATCGTGACTGTGACTCTTTTTGACTTGCTATGCACGCGCGCGCGCGCAGCATGCAGCAGCACAACCGCGGTGCGGCACGGCAATCTCGGTGATGGCCGCGGTGATTGCCGATGCGTGCGTGCGCGGTGCGGGCGTGCGTGCGGGCGTGCGTGCGTGCGTGCCCGCGGACATGTGCATGCCACAGCTTGATCCGCGGCCATGCATGCACGCACCCGCCACGATCACTCCCGCCGCGAGCCACCGCCCGCAGCAAATCGATCGCGATCCACCGCACCGCGAGCCTTGACTTGACATTCACAGATTCATACGGCAATCTGTGTGAATGTGCACGCACGCACGACGCGCTCGTGTGAGTGATGTGCGCGGGCAAGAGCGAGCATCAACCAGGACGGAGCCGCGCGCTGCTGCTGCTGCTGCCGGGGCAAGTCACAGTCAAGAACGAGGCCGCAGTTTTGCCTACAGAATCGTGGATCACGTGAACATCACTCGTCACGAGTAACGAGTCCTTTGGTAGACGACAGAGAGCGTGCCATTTGACGAGTCAGGAGCCGAGCGACTCGCTTAGCAAATCGCATGCCAGCATCTCTCTCGCATTTCGTGATGATGAAAGAAAGCAAGGGGAGAGGTAGGCGGGGCCCAGCGTCGGCCAGGATGCCGATCACATTCGTCTCGAAGGGCAAGAATAGATGGCGCGCACAGGGAAGCAGGTGGCGAACAACATCTATCATTGCAACGAAAAGAACGGCAAGACCGGTTCATGTGACGAGCCGATGGGACACGGGGCAGGTTAGAGTTGCTCGAGCGTAACATGCGAGGCTGCTAGCGGGAAAGCAGGTGGTGATCGGATGGCTGGTCTGACTAGACGGGGCAAGGGGCCTTTCTATCTGCTGAGAATGCTGGATCCACGTACGCCTTTGCAGCCCAGAGAAGATGATGCGGATGAGCCGTTCCCGGCCGAGAGGTTCTTGAAGTAGACGACCAAGACTCCAAGATATAGCGGTTGAATGCTTGTCGACGGTGTGTGTGCGGTAGCTACTACAAGAACTGGCAGGGCCCGGCACCAAGGAGCAAGGTCTATGCATGGAAGCCGCAAGCATTGACAGAGGAAGAGGAGCCGAGCGCTATAAAAGAAACAGCGCGCCGGTAAAAGTAGGCTAAATCAAGGCGTTTAGAGCTTACACTAGTGGGATCAATGAAGGCCCAAACCGTGCAGCAGAAAGGCCCATGCGCGTGCTGCTAGGGTGGATTCTCTACGCTCGGACATATGTACCGGTGCTGCACACAGCCACGAAGAAGAAACCTGAGGGCGTGCCAAGACCGTTCAAGTACCTCATGCATGGAAGGGGACCGTGCGCTCGATAATGGGCACTCGTATGAGAGCCCTCTGGCCTGCAGCTTAATCAGGACGGGCGCCGTGAAGGAGACCAACAAACATCGCCTTGTGACCCAGTCGGAGACTGCCCGACTTGGGGAGATCAGCCCACTCTTCTCACACCGATTTGGGCGAACCCCACACTGAGCCGAGGCTGCTATGATGCGGCGATAGGGAGGGACCCTTGGCAGAACATTTTGGCCGACTCCTCAGAGATAAGGGACGCGCGGGTATGACATCCCCCCCCGAAACAATGCCTTTATCCTCGTCGTCTTTACCTGCATCATCCCCTTTCCTCTCATTGCTCTTGCTCCCACGACAACAACCCCACTCGGCAATTTGGTCACCTTGGTCGTCGCCTCCGAGCGCTACCCCTCGAGTCCCACGACAACAACGCGACAGCTTCCACCTCCGCAAACCCGTCATCATGGATGATTTTCGAGAAGGCGATGCTATGCAACAGGACCTAGAATTCGAGGCTCAAACGCAGGAAGCAATCAAAGGAACGCAGACAGTTTACGAATTCGAAGAATACGTAAACAAATGGGAGGAAAACGACCAGGAAGCGGTTGATCCTGCAAAAGCCAAGTTGGCGCTGAAGCGCAAAGTGCCCATTCCACCGAACACTCATCAATTCTTGTTTGGAGAAGGGTACAAGCTGATGGCAAGTGGGAATCAGGAAGTCCCATCACGTTTGAAAATGACCGTACGTGCGCAGCTGCACCAACAGGGCATGAAAGACGCCAAAGTGGAGCTTCACCAGCGCGGCAACCTCATCCGTGGGGTCGACGTGTGGTATGATGCAGACCGGAAAGCTCAACCGGAGAGCGTTCATCTGTCGTACGCACAAGAGCCCATCACATATGAAGACAGCGGCATAGATTTCACCAGCGGTCTTGAAATATTCATGATGGAGAACGTGAATACTGCGTCAGTCAGGCACAAGGCCACCTTCACCGCATTCATCCAAGATCAACTAAACAACGCTCGCCTCAACCTCTGTGGTCTGTGGATGGAAAAGCAAAGCTTTCGTGGTTTTATCAACACGTCGGCGCAATACACTGGCGTCGTCATTGGCGCTGCTTTTCCTAGGCCCAGGAAGCCTGAGGAGAGCGAGCTTCCAGCCCCGCTCCTGCCTGGCTTTCTTCGCTTGCCGTTTGACGGAAATGGTGTGTACGTCAAGTATATCAAGCGTCCATTTTGGTGCCCCGTCTGCACGTGGCGTGCAAAGGAACCGCATGCAGTCCAACCTTCTTGTCGCAAGACACAAGCTTGTCGCAATGCTCAAGCGGGAATAAGACGGTTCAACCGACGATTTGCCAGAGACAAGCTCAACTTCATGGAAGGACCTCCTCCGCCGCGCGGCTCCTCGGTAGGACCACAACTCAATGACACTATTGACAACCGCCCTATTCGACGCAGGCGCCCGCCATCATCTGGGCGTGCGAGTAGAGCTCCCATCATGCCGCCAAGCACCATTGAAGACGAGGATCAGGAAGATGCACGCTCGGGCGTCGTGGTCCGCAGAACCCCATACCCCGTGGCACCGCCCGCCCGCCAAGCGTCACACATTCACCGCTAATCTCGCTGGGTGACTACCGCGTTGGCATCCGAATTCGAGCTCCGGAAGCCTTCTTTAGCTCCACAAGTTTTGCCGCCTTGAGATGTATGCTGCCGCCTTTCACCGTTCCGACAAGTCTTGGAGGCAGCTGGCTCTCCTCCTATCTCTCACCATCTCCGTGCGGAAGCGGAGGTCAATGAGCGGGGGCAAGCGCAAGGTGCAGTGCTGCGACGTTCGCTCTCGGCGCGTTCCCTCCGAACCTCGCCTGTCGCTTCGACAAGAGTCTGTCACGTGCACACACGCGCATACGCGTATATCACATGCATGTACGCTCGTCTCACCTCCTTGATCAATACATCCATCATACATCGTGATCCGAGCGTGAGATAGTCTGCACCGTCTATGGCTCGTTGCGGAGATGCGCGTTGCAAGCTTCAAACGAAGCGCTACAGGTCGAGGAAAGTACGAGCGCGTGGTGCGCAAGCCGTGCGAGGCGCAAGACTGCCTTGTCGCCAGTCTCCTACTCCGTCCAGTCGCGAGTTGCTGTTCGATTCAGCGCGAGGTATCTCATCTGTTGAAATCGCCACGCCAGAGGATTCACTTGGGTTAGTCAGGGTTAGGGTTGCAACACGAGCGCGCGCGCGCTCCTGCCCCATCACCAGACACGACGGGCCGTTTGAGGCGCACAGCCACGTTTCATTCATCTACGCGTCTCTTCTGCCGCACCTTGTTCTTGTCATTGTCACAATGACGTCGAGCGCGCCAAGGTCGCCGTGGGGAGAAAACAAGTCAAGGGTTAGCGTTGGCATGAATCATTGATGTACTTCGAGCGTACTTCGAGCGCGTCTCCCTCGTGCCTCTTTCTCTCTCTCACTCACCAACCATTCCGCCGCCCGCCATGCTGCTCGTACAATCGCTCCCAATCTTGGCTTTGGCCGCCACTGCGACTTGCATGCCGCAATTCGGCCTTCTCGCGGACCTCTTTCCGCGCGCTAATCCAAAGAATGAGCCTCCAGTCACAGACACAACCGTCGACGTGCTGCGCGTTGCGCTGGACGGTGCTTGCACTGGCAACCCTCGCGCAGTGAGGGATGCGTGGGTCAAACAAATCGACGAGGCAGACGTCCAAAAGTGAGTCGTGGTGGCGGGCTGCTGCTGTAAGCTTCCATGAGCTGACGACTTGCGACAAGCAGACATCGCATCACGCTGGACAAGCCCGTCGTGACGCAAACGCTTTATTCGCTGCACTACGTCAGTTATATTTCCAAACTCAACAAGGACTTCGACTTTACCCGTGAGCAGGCCGACCACATCTTCGAAAAGATGACTGCGGTTGGCTACGACGATCTCAACGCTGCACTGCTCGACAAGACGCGCCTCGAGAAAGCGCATGCTCTCAAGCTCGACCGGCAGATCCATCACAGCGTTGGCAACTTGTATCGCAATTGGACCGCCTTTCTCGACGAGCAGTATCCTGGAATGTGAGTGGAAAAGTTTAGCGCGTGTTTGCGCCCGACTGACTGGCGAACCTCTTCCCAGCGAGCCGACGTGGCCCAGCAAGATTGTCTTTAAAGAGGTCGTCGATCGCATCAAAGCCAAGTTGCTTGAGATTATTCGCGCATACAGGCCCTAAAAGCGATGATTGGGCACGCCAACCGCGTCCGCGAGAAAGTTCCATGTAGCGTGTCTGGTGCCCTGCGAGGAGATCCTCTGCCGAATCGTTGCCTGCGCCGCAAATGTCAGCGAATTCTGCTCTGCGTGTACCTCTCGCATTGCGCCACCCATCTTTGCTGACCCGCGTGATTGAGGGCCACCGCTCCAGAGTCCATCTTTATGCGCGACGGCGCCCAGCATCGGACGCTCACGCACCGTTCGCATGATCCCTGTTTCGATTGGAGCCTTTGCCTTGCGCTCAATGCGCATCCTTTCGGGCGCGAAATGTCGTGGCCATCTGCGCTCATCTCTTTGCCGTTCAGGCCTATCCGCGCCGCCTCGATCCCGCAGCGACGCTCGAAACAATTGCCACCCACTACTGAGCACCGTATGGCGCTTCTTGTAGTCGCCTCCACGGGGCGGCGCGCGCGCTGGCCGTCGCGTCGAGAGGGTGCGTTCTGATGGTTTCGACGCGAAAAACGTCATATCTCGGTCCGTTTTGCTCGAAAAGCACCAGTTTTTCACTGGTCGATGTAGCCAGTTGAGGAGAAGGTGTTCCCGCTGAGAAAACAGTGTATTGATACCAGATTGACGGAGAAAATCGCAAAAAAAGAAAATTTCGCGAAAAAAGGCGTGACAACTGTGGGACTCGAACCCACGCTCTTTCGAACTACGGGAGGTGCTGGGCGCGCAGCCCTGCGGGACTCAGTCTAACCTGAACGTAGCGCCATAACCACTCGGCCAAGTTGCCTCGGCCGATTATTGTGATTGGGGTATTATATGATATCGTTTGTACAAATCTCTAGTAAGGCGCTCATTTTCAATCGCCAAGCATGCATGACCATTTCAAGCGCGCAGACTCGTGACTTTTTCGTGACGGCGCGCAAGGCAAGTCCAGGAATTTCGTTGGAATCAAAAAGTCACGAGTCAAACACACGCGTTGAAATTTAGCACATGTGCATTGCGTGATTTGTGATCCACGATTGCTGATGCCGCTCGGCAGCTCTGTCCAGAGTGAATACATGCATTCATTCGTGAACGTCGCTTCATCAGCTCATGAGCTCGATCTCTCCGCTCCCTCATTGCCGTTCAAGCGGTGCGCCACAACTGCGCGCTGCCGCTTCTCTGGCAACACACCTCCATCGTCTCTGACTTGCGCGCGCTCACCACGCACGCACGCGATTGCCGTACGAGCGCCCCCTCCAAACCTCCTCATAGGTCTGCGGAATCTGCTACTGAAGGTCCGGGTCATTGTGCGCTGCAGCACCACACACACACACAGGCTATCAGCCACCTCGGGGGCAGCATCGAGCGAGGACGCACGATGCATACAACGTGCGCGTAAAGAGGGCAAAGGCAAATTTCTCTTCCCTGGCCCTTGCCCGACAACTATGCCGACTGATTGCCGGCGCTTGCGCCTTGCGCTGGTCAACAAGCTGCGGGGATACGTCTCGTGACTGGGGTCGAACGTCTACCCACCAAAGCAAGCCCCTGCTGTACGCGAGTGTCATCACCATCCAGGGAGGGAGAAGAGGCCACCACGATTTGCAAGCCCATCGACGCTGCACTCTTCTCTGCTGAAGGAAGAACAACCACAGCGTGTACCGAGCGACTCGAACGCGTCAGATCTTGCAGCCGCAGATGACACTGACACAGCTCAAGACCGCCAGTATATGCTCAAGGTGCGCTATCAAGGCACCCATCTGCCAACAAGCGGAAACCCGATATCACGCGTGCGCGCGCCTCCGCGAGCAGCAACTCTCGCTGAAGCGGGGTTGCGGAGAAACGCATCGCTGTGCTGCTGGTCGATGCGCGCTGGCTGTTGAGGGAATGCGAAGCGCCCTGAAGAGTCGCAGTTGGTCGATGTGGGGTCCCTACTTTGTGCCCAAGCCGACGTGTAACCAGGTGCTTCCAGATCTGGCAACGCTGTACTCATGGCTGCAAGCAATCGTCCGACGATGCCCACGCGACGACGCGCGAAGCGCATGCACCCATCTGACAAGTGCTGGACCAAATACCCAGACATGCGCTCGATGGGACAGAGACTCGCTTCCATAGCCATCAAATTTGGAATGGCTGCATCGGATGCGCAAGGGGCAGGGGCCTTTCGAGTCGTCGGCACCATCGCCAACGAATGCAGCCTCAGCTTCCTCCGCATGGTTCGTAAGCTCGACACCGCATCCAAGGGACAGCAAAGCATTCTCTGCGTCAACTCTGCGGCAACACGTCACGTATGCAACGATGCGTGACTGTTGCGCCCATGCCAGCCTCACATCCGGTGATCGTGAGAGATACTTGCACGTCAGCTTTGCACGTCAGCTTTGCACCACTCGTGAGATTCAGCAAAGGGATCTGCTGTGCGATCCGCGCCTCGGTGGCGTCGAAGCGATGAACGGATTTTGGGAGGCAGGCTTCGGACGTGGCACGACGAGGGCCACGTCGATCGAGACTCGGCGAGCCTAGTAGCCAAAGAACGCCGCCTCACGGGAGTCCAGCGTGAATGCTTTGCCGATCTCCCCCGCTGCGGGCATAGCACGCCGCCTCGCGGGAGTCCAGCGTGAATGCTTTGCCGATCTCCCCCGCTGCAATCATAGCTACGACCCGCGCATCGCTTTGGCATGCGCGAGTTGGGCCGGAAGGAGTGCACCATCTACCGGTGCAGATCAACAATGCCACGTCGTTGCAAGAGAACTTTCTGGTCATCGTAGCTGCGATACATTCATACTGCTTTCCTCGAGCGCGCGCTCAAAGCCGCAGGTGGAAGTCGGATTCGATACGAAAAGAAAGGTGTTTCATTGCACCGCGAACTCTAACGTGTTCTCAACCGCCAGGCACCATCAATCAGAGCTCAACGGCAGCCTCGCTAGGAAGAGAATGGATCCGTCGCAACCGGAATCATCAAAATGCGTCAAGATGCTGCCCATTTTGACGTGTGCAGAAGCATTGCTCGGCCTTGACGCCGGTGAGCAGCTACGAGCGTCCTTTACTTCTAGCGACGCTTTGGCTGCGCGCCGCTCCTTGCTGATTCTCCTTTGCTACCAGTTGGGCTTCCTCAGCTGATTGGCGCGAAGCTGTTGCGTGCGGTGAAGAAAAAGCTTGGCCGTTGACCGCGCTACGCAGCGATTGGTCGCATAACCCCAGCAAAGCTCGGAATTGAAGCGGCATGCATTACCACGAAGCGATGGCATCGAAACGCAACGCTTCTCGGATAATCGAGATCAACGCGAATCTTGCAAGCAGCGCCATCTCTCCTCATTCATGATCAACGCTGCCTGCCTGCCTGCCTGCGTGCCTGCCTCACTTTGTGACCGAGAAGCTCGACATGTAAGGAATTGCATTTCTTTGGCGATGTTGTTAGACCTGTCGCAGTGAGAGCCGCTAGCACATGTGAAGAATCACGTTTCTTTGGCGATGCTGTTAGACCTGCCGCAGCGAGGGCAGCGAGCTAGCACTTGATCGATGTGCTCGAGATGTCCCTCCAAATTGCTTGACATTGTCAAAGGTAGCCTAGAACAACAGTTTCGATGATCGCGCCGGCCTCTTCCAGCATGCGTTCGGCGCTGAGCGAACATGGAGAGATTCGCGACACGCTGAGCGTAGCGGAGCCGATGCGTGCCCCGAGCCGGACTAGCGGTCAAGCGCGGGCACTCCCATGCATCCTACTCGTGAGTGTGACAAACATGGTGGCCTGCTGACGCCGGAGAGGGAACGTCGTCCTGACCGGAGCGCAGCTCGCACGATGCTATCCGCATCCGAATCGGCGGAGAACTTTGTCTCTACTCGATTTTCGTCTGACAGTGGAGAATGATGACATTCGCGAGGTTCACTTGCGGCTGCAAAAAAGCGCAAGGGCGAGCGTGAAAGGCCATTTCGAAGTGCACTTTGCGTCGCTTGAAAGGGGCTCCGAGAGTGTTGCGTGGAGGCTCCGAGAGTGAGTTTAGGGTTAGGGTTAGGGTTACAAGGGTGTCTGGAATTAGGGTCGGAGATGTTTCATAGCCACTTTGTAGAGCACATTCAGGAGTGTCTTGTGACAAAAAAGTTTTGGATTTGCGATAGCCGTTTTTGCGTGAGGAGGCGCAAAGCGCAAGTGCGGGGTGATTTTGGCTGGTGGCACCTCTGAAATTTGGGAGTGGATGTGACCCTAGCAGGATTTTGGAGAGGGTCCAAGGAGTCATTTAGCATGTGTGAAGGGTTTGGGCTGGGGTTGCAAACTCACAGAGATTTTTTTTGGGTTAGGGTTAGGGTTAGGGTTAGGGTTAGGGTTAGGGTTAGGGTTAGGGTTAGGGTTAGGGTTAGGGTTAGGGTTAGATAGGTGTGCCCGGCAGGGTTAGGGTTAGGGTTAGGGTTAGGGTTAGGGTTAGGGTTAGGGTTAGGGTTAGGGTTAGGGTTAGGGTTAGGGTTAGGGTTAGGGTTAGGG